ATAGAAAAGTCCGGAGGCAACAGGAAGAGAGCTAAAAATCTGGAAAAAAATGCACCTTGTTCCTAGATGTTGGGGCGTCATGATGAGTATTTTTTTGTATTTTACACACGGATATTGGTTAATGTACTAACAATAAAGGCTGAGAATCATCAAAAACCCACCTGTAACAATACCTGAAATTTGGCTCTTGATTTTGAAGACAGGATTTTGGAATCTTCAAACATCAATAACTTTTGCAGTTCTGAATCAAATCACTCAATTTGAAGTGCATTAAAAAGGTGAGCCTTTCCTCTACATTTTTCATTCAGACATCACATCTGTAGCTGGTCTAAAAAAGATAATACAGAGATATTCATGCAGAACTTTTTGAACATATGTAGAGTGTTTAAATGGCTAGATAGCACCTTAATAACATTATGAAGTGTGAAGGAGGATAGTTCAGCTTTTGAATGAACCAAAAATCGAGTTATTTGGAGCAGAATTGCAAAAGTTATTGAAGTTTTTAGACCACAAAATATTGTCTTCATACTCATGACCCAAATTTCAGGTATTGTTACATGTGAGTTTTTGATGATTTTCAGCGTTTATTGTTAGTACATAAACCAATGTCTGCATGTAAAATACAAAAAAATACTCATCATGACGCCCCAACATCTAGGAACAAGGTGCATATTTTTTCAGATTTTTAGCTCTCTTCCTGTTGCCTCAGGACTTTTCTATGTCATTAGTTTTCTTCACCGCCCGGTAAAGATTACATTTGGTGTAGTGTCATAAGCTAAGGGCGAGACTGGTATTGGCGTCATGAACAAGGGAAGGGTCATGGTGAGTGAGTGGTCCCATCAGATCTCATAGCGATTCCATAAGAGAGCCATACCTGATTTGTGTTTGATTCACATTTGTCGTTTGGAGGAGAATGAAGGACAGGGGGGTCTGAGGACAAAACAATCGTAATCCCTCTTTTAGAAGGCGATTCTAGCAATCACAAGGCGAAAAATCGAGATTCAGCATGAATTTCACTTGAAGCAATCATGGATAATCAAAGAAAAAATACTTACTGGGTTCTAATTTCACCTTTTTCTTATCCTCTTCAGAGTAAAGGGAAATACTCGCCGATCTTTTTGAAACGTTGGCCTTTTGAAACAAGAGTTGAGCTGGGGATTCAAAAAACGAATGGCTAGATCCGCCCGACTTGTGAAAGGTTGGCGACAAATCCAATTGCAAGTCTGAGCTTCGCATCTTGACACGGTCATCTACCTTGGTTGCCTTATGGAAAACTTGGGTCTTCTTGATGATAGCGAGGTATTCGTAAGTTCGGGGGGGAATTTCATGTGTCGCCATTCCAGATTGCTGGAATGAGATGAAAAAAACCAAAACAAAGAGAAAATCAAAAGACATAGAGAAAATCAGAAAAATTTGAAGAAATCGGATGAATCAGAAAAATAATAATAAAATCATTGAGAACATGGTAAGAACTACTTACCACCGCTTTGGCCCAGACCCACGCCCCCTGCCAAGTCAAACGGTACAAGAGTTGGGGGTCCCATGGGCAAACTAAGATGGCCCCGTCGCCAGAAGTCCCTTTTTGACTTTGTTCATGGAACAACTGGGCAGTGAGTTTGTGGAGCGCAATGCGCTTATGCGCATCCTGTTACACCATACAAGTCAAGTTAGAACCAAACTGAGAATTGAAACGGGAAAACTTAAAATTTTATTACCTCTAACTCTTTGGTAAGGACCCCCACCTGCGCTTCAGCAGCAGTGGGGCCGCTAGCTGAAGCGATTAATTCCTTCGCAGCGCAGGTCTAAGGAAGAAATGGACCGTCACCTATTAAAGTAATGAAAAAGAACGTTAGAAAAATATTACACACCTGAGCTACTTTTTTAGCCTTTTCCTTCTCGTTTTCAGTGAAGATTGTCAATGAGCCCTTATGCTTCGTTGCTTTGGCCAGTAAGTCGACAAAAGCCTGCCAGGTAGGATAATCAACCAAGAAGACCTTTTCGCGCCCTACCTGGCCCATCCATCTCAAGTGCGGAGCAAGTTTGCTTTTGAGAACCGTATGACGCATACCAGGTTCGTAAGCGTCACAGATGTCGCCACACAAGTCTTTGAACTCATTCAAAGACTTTCCAAATAGGCATTTGACAAGTTCTAAGACGTTTCCAGAGTTGAACATCTTAGATTCAACGAGGTTGTACCAAACCGCAGGGGCAACACCTGCAGTGCGGCAACCTCTGACCTTGATGGATGGAGCGCTGTCGACCTCTACTTCCTTTTCAGTGTGAATTTTGAACTTCACCTGAACAATCATCTCGTTCTTTTGTTCAAATTGCACCCGAGGAGCCGTTCCAATTCGATAGAGCGGATCGCGATGAGCACATACCGCCGGTGCATCGGCCCCGGTTGCATGGGAAGGCTCTTCGAAAACTGAAATGAACCAGTGAATCAGATTGGGAGAAGAAACACAGTATATGTAGACAGAAGGACTTACGAGCATTCATGTGCCCTTCAACAGGGGCCCCTTCGGATGGATTGTTGATTGTTGATTGAGACATGTTGATTATGGGCTGTGAAATTTGGTCAAGCTGGACATCGAAATAGGATAAGAATAAGCAAACACACTATTAGTATCAGCCCGATGAAAACGAATAAAAGATCAGGGGTAAAACCAAACGCACTGGTAACAAGACAGTGGTGTAGAGGATGATTTCGAATATTGAATTTGACTAAACAAGTGCCTAAGCAAGGAAAGAATGAAGGAACAATTGGTCAGAAGAGAATATTTGAGAAGGAGACAGACAAAAAAGCAATAATATCCAATCTTACTAGGTGAGATCGATGAGAGCCAAAACCAACAAGGGCCAAAAACAGGAATATTTATACCATTTCAAACCCATCCCCGTTTTTGACCCCATCCCCCATATTAGTTATGATGTCATATGAGGTCATCACCCCGATTTCTTCAATTGTTCTGGACCTTAATGACAAACATGAGCAATGCTGAACAAGGTGAATGGAAACTTCGGCAGTCCTGCGTTTGAGAAGTCCTTCGAAAAATACAAAAACACACAATTATCGTCGTGTTTGAATTCATAGTATGAATATGAAGAAATACCCTCTTTCTTTCATCGAAGAATATCAATGACGGCCATTGATATCAAACAGGTTCCGTACAAGGTCTTCTTGACTATCGAGACTAACATCGTTGTAGAGAAGAGAGTGATTCCTAGATGTCAAAACGGTCTTTCCATCAGGGGTGCTTTCTATGAATCTTAGAAATAGAAAAAACACACAATCAACGTTGAGTTCAAAATCATTGATTTATGTAAAATGCAAAGACGTACCCTCTTTTTGTCTGTTGAGCGCCAGCCAGTGAGATCAGGTTCCGTAGAAGTTCTTGTTGACTATCGAGACTGAAATCGATGTAGAGAAGGTGTTAGAGAAATTCGATGTCAAAAGTGAAATGTTGAAGTGGCCAGTGGAACGAAGTCGAGGGGTCCAATGGGGGTGGAACCGGAGGTGAGACCAGAGGTCGAGGCACAGGCATTTTAAGTTTCTTGAACCTCGAAGTCGATGAATGATTGGAGAATGCTTCTTATGATGGACAAAGTTGGAAGGAAGCAAATTATAATTTAGGCTTGAAATATCAAAAAAAAATGAGTTTTGAAACGCAGATTAAACCTTAGTTAAATCTGCGCAACACACATGGCCTCAAAACTTACCAATAGTTTTCACAACAGCTGTAACTTATAAGCTTCCCATCCAACTCTTCCTATTGTTCAAATCTTGTCATTGCAGCTCATCATCATCATATCATGTCATATGATTGTGAACATTGTATTCTAAAATAATGCTATCGAAGGACCTAGCCAAAAAGGTGTCTGCAACCTATCCTGAAATATGGGAATCGATAACCTTAGCGCAGCTCACCAGCTCGCAACGCTGTCGGCGGATTTTCTGAAAAGGACCAACGGTTCCTTGCGACCCTCACCTATATTGTTCCCAATAGAATTCCTTGGAGAGAGCCTTGATTCCGCACAAGCTCACTCAACAAGGGCATTACCAATGACTGAATATCTTGTGTTTTTTTGGGAATTGGTAAATGTACGCTTGTGACCGGATGAGGCATGCTGCGTTGACTGCGCAGGAACTTTACAAATTGTGATCCGTCCGGGCGGCGGGCGGGAATTGGGAATCACAACTCTGCTGATGCTCACGAATCTACACAGGGAGACGAAGAAACCACAGGGCTTCTTACTCCTACTTTTTCCGTGGTATGTTCCCTTACATCTCTCCCATCATCCGAGCTTGATGAACCAGGATATGGATGTAGAGCAAAACGCGTAGACTGCTTATCTGATTCGACACTCATCGCGTGAAAGATGGTGTTGGGTTCATAGAAAACCGGAACCAAACATCTTCCGGCTTCCTTTTGCAGGAACTTTATCACGAACGTAGATCCTGATTATTTCAGCGAACTTTTTCCCTGAACAGCTCTCAAGCCAAAGCTGTCGTTCAGCCTGTGCTGTTCGTAATCGAAGCCGAGGTCTGGCTTGATCAAGCGGCTCAGAGAGCATATGATTGATGAAGTAGCGCGCCGGATTCACAAGTGATTGAGTCAACGTGGCCCTACAAATCCACATCTCCTGGTCCAACGATATGCCCTTGAAGTTAATAGTGAGCCAGTCGCAAGAATGTGTTCAATGTGACTTCGTCCTTGAACTCAGTAGAATCAGGCACACCTGGCAGGAGTGAATGTGCGAGGCGATGTGCAATTTGACAAAAATTCATTAACCTTCAACGTCTCGACGGTTCTGCACAGAACACCAAATGTAGACTCGGTAATGGAGGAAAAACTATAAGAACTGATCATTGGAGGCCATCATTGGGAACCTTTCATCAACATACTTCCTTTCATTCGAATATATCAACTTTCTCAACTTTTAAATTTTTCCAATCACCACAGGCTTTTCGCTTATCACCAACACTTTCTATATCCAACATGGTTTTCTCACGTACCTTTACTAGCGTTGTTATTGTCGCAACCTATGCGTCGCTCTCTCTTTGCGCTCCTTCAAAGATTCAGCCGCTGCTCCCCGGCACCAACTTGGCCTCAACCAGCGCTGTTAACGCCTTGAGCTGTTCTGATTTATCAATCTACGAGTACCAACAGGCAGAATTGATTGCAAAAGCTTGTTCAGTGGCAAAGTCCGTGACATCCATCCATCTACGAGAAAGGAGCTCGACTGGCTCCGTTGCCGGTGGTAACATCGGTGCCAACGTCGATGCTGTGAGTTCACCACGTTTCTTTCCCAGTGCGAAGATCGTTTTTGGAAATTCTAACATGATGGATGATGTTTTCTTTACTCCAGAGTGCATTTCTCAACTTATTCGACACTTGTAATGGCCTCTCTCAAGTCTTGACCAACGCGATTGGCGGTTCAGCCATGCTAGTTTCGGGCTTAGTTTCAAACCTCGTGGTACCCATTCTAACTCATACTACTCAGCAGCTCCAGGCTACTCTCGCTACCCTCAATGTCAGTCTGTGCGTGACCTCATCCGCTTGTTGACAGTGACTGAAGCTCCCTTTTTCTCCCTATCAGAACGTCGTTGCTTGCACAGATGCTACGGTCGCTGCTACAGTCTACGAAGCCTTCAAAGTGGTACGTGTTTCTATCACTCGGATAGTAGAGACGATCACATTATTCAAGTTTTCTTCTCCTATCCTTTGCATTTTTTAGTTCGCATCTGTGCAGAAAAAACTCTTCGTCTTCATCTCCGCCAATGTTTCCCTCTTGGTGAAATTGAACTTGAAGTCGACTGTCCACACTGCTCTTGTAGGCTTGGAGCAATTGCTCGAGGTTAGTCATCATACTCCTCAAACTGATCTTCTCAGACTAGTGATTAACGTACTTTTATGTCTATCAGACCTACCTCGAAGCTTTATTCACCTACATCTCTTCAGACCTTGACACTTTGAACTTGCGTGCTTCGTTGACTGCAAGTGTCAAATCCGCCATTGATGCTTGTGCATGATTGATTCTCTAGATGTTCACGACCTTGACGTTTTCCGAGTTTTTCTTCTCCATTCTCTTCCTCGCTTTCATTAGGTTTTGTTGGTTTCTCGTGCTTGTAACTTCAGATTTCTATTTATCTTGTGCGCGCGATTATTAGTACTTTGGGGCTGTTCAGTTGTTTCTGTGTTTCTTCTTCCTGTGTTTCGTGTGATCGTTCATTTCGAGCTCTTGTGCTGTAGGAGTGGTGAGGAATAAATTACCCACTTTCGTTCGTATTATCTCCAATGAGATGGTCTCATCCAAGCATCTTCGATCCACTGCATGGGAGTCAAATTCATCTTTTGGGTAATTGTTTCGTACATGGCGTCTACAGTGGGTTACCCATCTCATCGTCTGGGGAATGATCTTATGAATCTACCGCGCAATTCGATGTGAAACTCGGTGTAAAACGCCAAGTTTTTTGATAAGGCTATCCGAGAATCTCACTTTTTTCAGAACAGCATCTTATGTAATAACGAGGTCTTGGGCGGCTGCGCCGCCCCTTATACATTTCACCGCCTAATTGGGACTCAACGAATGCCCGTCGTGACCCAGTGACACCGCCACACTAACGCAGGGACATTACATGTACAACTATTTTCACTATACTCATCTAGTTACAACTTTGTACAATGCTCGTGTTCTGAACGGGACAAATCACCCCCGACGACGTCTCCTGATTCTTCTGTAACCTTCTCGGAGCGCCGGCAGGCCACGTTGCCGGCGGCTTCGGCGTACTAGTCGCTTCTTGTGCACCATGCGAAACGCCGTTACCTATATCCAACAACGTGGTTAGCTAAACACACGTCCCACGAATCCAAAGTCACTAACCTTCACTTCCCAAGTCGCACTGGCTTCATCGTACTTCACTACATTCCCTCTTAGGTTCACGACATTTCCTTCATTCAGAGCACTAGACCCTGGGCGGCCAGCCGCCTTATGCACTTAGACCCTGCCCCAACTTTTAACTTGACCCTGGCTTCGAAAGCGGACAAAAGACCACACGGTGTCTACATGTAGATACCCGGCCCGTACTGATACAGTCTGCGTTCATCATTCTGATGTAAAGTTCATGTCGTATCTATTCCAATGTTTCACAAACAAAAAGAAGGCGCTACCTGTCATCATCTGCGCATGTAAGTGACAAAGCAAGAATCACAATATCAAGCGAGATACAAAATGTTCACGTTACATTGACCTCTTACCACAAGCAAAGGTATTACCCGTCTCCAACACAGCGAGGAACCGACAACATGAAATTTAGCAAGGTATTAGATCGACAATTTACATTCCCTTCTCACAACAAATACAGCCACTACGAGTCATCATTTTAGCATGAAATTGAATAGCGATCATTGTATTTCTGACGGCCTTCAGTAACTTACTGAACAACCTGCCTGTTCGTCAAACCCAGTCATCAGGTAGCTTTTTAACTGGCCCATTAAGCCTCATGTCCAGCTCCTGTGTCATAGAGAAAGCCTTAGCTAACGCACAACAACCCATTATAACATTGCGAAGTAAGACATATAAAGAGAAACACAAACCAGAATTTCCTCGAACTTGAGCTCTGGCATGAAATGACAATGTATGTCGTACTTATCAAACGCATAAACCAAGTCGTCATCTACCAGACTTGTGCCTCTTATGGTGGTAAATACTATGTGCTTAAAGTGGAGTGGCCTTGGAAAGTGTCCATCATGTATTAAAAGCAACACATGCCACCAATAGATATGCCCATCCAGATACTTGGTAACTAAAGTCCTTAGCGACCGAAAGAACCCTTGCTATAGCCATCCCAAGTCAAAGTCCATTGCAGGCCAGGACGTCGTTCGAACACACCAAAGCTTGGGGAAGAGAGTAAATGATGTGGTCTGGGGAAGGTTGGTCGGAATGTTGTCAATACACAGACATTCCAAGTTGAATTGAGATTCACCTAGAATCCCAGCTGGTCGGTTGGTCACTGGATCCTCAGATTCGTATTCGATTGTGTTAAGTGTTCTAGATGCCGCACGGACGATTTGAGACAGGGCATATCGACTGCTGGCAAAGTATTCAAACCAGAAGTGCCTTAAGCATGGCAGACTGCCATCAAGTAAGAAGTGAGGTTCTAGATACGGTAATGACACAGAGAGGGATTCCAGCGTCGGAACGACAGAAAGCAGTTCGGCAATTGAATTTGAGTCGGTGGATAACTGTCTCGGCCAGTCATATCGTCTGATGAGCGTAAGTTTATCCAGGCATTTAATATATTTCACCGCTTCTATCATATCATCCGATACCATCATGCAATTGCCAAAGATCAAAGATAAGCTAGTGATGTTTATACCAAAGGTGTGGATGATCTTTGCACCTGTATACATAGGTATACTAAGAGCACATTGTATCATCACACTATCTGGAATGTGAATTTCGGGATCAGCTGGACTGTAACCGAATAAGTCTTCTATTGAAAGATATCGCAGAGGTGAGTCGGCAGAGCTGAGGATTGAGCCTTGCCAAGTGTCCAGAAGCCGATGTGCCATTCCGCGAGTCTGTAGGCGTATTGAGTCAAAGAGGAAATATGGTACGACTCTTGCCCAGTTGCGAGAGATAAGCCGTAGTCGTTGCAAGTGGATGGTTGTACGTATGACCAGGAAGCGTTCTTCACCACTGTTGGTGGCATTAGTTGGCTTGAAAGCTGCTATTGCCATGTAAAACATCATGATACGCTCTATGACTTCAGGCGGGAGCACACCACAATCTAATTTCGGCATGAGCCTTAGTGTAGAATATGACGGCATGAAGAAGTACACGGAATATAAAGTGCCGATAAAATAGAGAAACAGTAAGGATGGTGTCTTTACGATGATAGCAAAAATTGCATTGCAGGCAGGAGAGCTACCATTCTTTGTGTTGTTGCATTTATGACCGCAGAGTGAGTTCTACAATGGCATTCACATCTGCTACGTAGACCCTTAGGTTCCTACTGTGGTCATCATCTTCGACCTCCTCCACCTATACCCTAGGGGCGGTTACACGTTGATACGGGAATGATATCAAGAAGAGCAACCTCCATGTGCGTAGAAACACATCCTGCCCATCAGCGTGACATATGTGACTATTGGGACCCTTACGGTGTGGTGATCAATTTATGGGATCAATTAAAAAATTCACAATTACCAGTTTACCAGTTTATTAGCAGGATTCAGCAGGAAAGAAAATTCGAAATGGAGGTTTTTGATCAATTGAAGCTCTTGTAGGCTTATGTATTGGTCATTAGGTCAACATTACATCATTTTATTTCACATTATATATTAAGATCATTATAGTTTACTTACAAATTTATTACAAAAAGAAAGAAAGAAAAACATAAGAAAAATTCGAAATTATAGGTATAAAGGTTGGAAAATGGTTTTTAGGTTAGTAAAAATAAAGTTATGGGTATTGTGAGGTTAGAATATGAAAGAACAACATTATATGATACTATGACAATTTTAATCTTCAAGGTTGATAAGTAGAAACAGAAGTTATTAGGAAAAAAGCACTTTTTCGAAGTTGGTAAACAAGAGGTACACGTGTAGTTTGGTTGTGTAATAGTGGTAGTGATGGAATTTAAGGTTGCCAAGAGGATTTTCCGGGATTTTTAAGGCTATAGATGATGATGTCATATTACATGAGCAAGAAAAAGATAGTAGTAGCTGTGAAAAGTGAAGAAAATGGGTGAAATTCGTGGAAAATGGAGGTTTTCAGCTAATTACATATGTCAAATGACGTCAGAATAGGTTGGTAGATGGCTCATTCAACGCAGAAGAGTGGATTACATAATGTACAAACTTTAAATCATTAGTAACGGAGGTGTGTGTAAAAAGTTATAAGGCAAATAAAGAATTGGTGTGAATCTCGAATTTACAGTCACAAGTCATATGTAACACTAAAAACCTTAACTTCACAACTCAATATCTTACTCATCACTCATCAGAAGTAGGTCATGTAGGTGTCAGAAATGATCAGTAACACGTGGGCTACAAGATGCACTTTAGTAATCAAAAATTGGAGCACATCTGAAAAAATTCGTAATCTCAAAAATTGGTTTTCAGCTAGTTTACAAGAAAAAAATCACCTGTATTCATCATAAGAAGTGCTGTACATCATATTATTGCGTCATTGATCACTTTTAGCTGTGAAAATTACATCATTTATTAGTAACAAAACCATTACATTGCGTCATCATAGGGTTTTTAGGGAATTTTGGGCGGATTTGATTGGTTTTGAGGCTGTTGACCATTGTAAAAGTTCTAGTACATTGTTATATATACTTTGAGAGGGTTTTGGGACTGTTGTTCCCCTTTTTTTCTTTATCATTTACGCCATTATTATTTTGTTTATCATCATAAACTTATTTTAATAGTACCTGTTCACTTAAATACGCCCTTTATTACAGTTATAAAGAGAAATTTACTTTAGTTTTATAGTCATAAAGACTTATTGGGAATAATATCAATCAGATATTGCTTATTTTTTTCAGTTATCAATTGGGAATAACACTATAGCAGTGTTGATAGTAATACAAAGTGTGCTTTTGAAGTTAAAATTACGTGTGAAGTTATATTTCTCTGGTGCCTTATCAGTACTCAATACAACAGAGCTCTTTCTGATTGTGTTGTTTTAGAAGAGCAGTCCTTAGACAACTTCTACTAGTCATTTTATTAGTAGATTATCCTCTTCCAGCTCTGTATAACCCTTGTTGGGTTATAAGTTCTACAACGGTCCAAGGGGAGTCATCCATCGGGCCATCGTTCTTCTGCCAACAACGCATGCAGAGTTATGATTGGAATTGGCGGCAATCCATTGCAACAACAGTATGCGTACTCAAATGGAACACAAAATTATTTTACACGTATTCAGTGATACAAAAAATTTATGGCTTCAATGACATTGTTATAAAACACGACGGTCAATGGTGATGACTGGACACTACCACTGCCAGCATTAAAGAGGTTCCCAGATGGGAATATGGGTCCTAGTGATCACATTCCCATCCTGCTACTGTTACACAGCTCCATGAATATTTCCTGAGTAGCCATTGTGATATATGTAGTCAATATTTTGAGATGTGTGGCTCAATCTGAACAAACTTACAGCATGTATTACACATGAACTTCTTATCTAGATGAGCAGATAACTGAGCGGACCTGTATGTAGCTGATAGCTGAGCATTTACTCAGATGTTTGCACATATGTAGTGTATGCTTTATGGCTCAGATGTGCAGTGCAAGATGATTTGATGCACCATTCTTCTCTCAATGATATTCCCAGACTAGGTCATGTTCCGACCAGGGAACATATTTAATGCTGGCAGTGTACGGGATGAGAGTTGTGATGCCCTACATTAGTGAATCTTTATGGCTGATGATTGTTCGATTTGATACCGTTGAGGGTCCGGCAAAGCCTGTAACAACCCAATCTCCGCCCTACTCTTCATGTACAATAGTAAGGACGTGGCGTTAATAATTCTTTGCTTTACTTCTCTCAACCGTTGAAAGTTGCAGTCTTTGTCGTGTTAGGTATCATTCAGCAATAAACGACCGGTGGACTATATTGATAGTTTCGTTACTCCCAAAGGAATCCGTCATACTCACTTGGACTTCGGCGGCCAATGTGCACCTGGATAAAGCTACATAAAGCTGGCCGTGTGCAAAGACGGAATCGGGCAATAGCACCAACACCTTATCGAGGCTTTGTCCTTGCGACTTATTGATAGTCATGCAGTATGCAATAGCCACTGGGAATTGGAATCGATAAAACCGGACTGGGAACAACTCATCCCCCTCATGCAATAGTTTTATTTGTGGTATGATCACGACTCGGCCTTTCTTCTCGCCTGTAATTACCCGGCATCTCAGTGCGGATGATGCACAAGCAGTCACCACGAGACGTGTGCCGTTACAGAGTCCTTGTGCCAAGTTGAGATTCCTGAGCAAAATGATCGGAACCCCAACCTTCAGTCTCAAGGTGTGGCGAGGGAAGGACGGAAAGTCTTGTCCATTGAGTATTTCCGTTGAGACTGGTTCTTCGTAGTCTTCGTCCATTGCATCAATGGACTTGGACACCATCTCTTCGCCTTCAGCGTAGTCCAAACACGACTTGTTAATGGCCGTCACTTTCTTGTTAAGAGGGGTGATCACACATCTCTCGGCGTAATACTTCGCGAGCGCTAGCCAATCCATAGATCGGACCAAATTTCTGGCGTCTTTGTACATTTGGTGCACAGGTGTGACATCAAGTCCAGCACTTTCTGGAACACTGAATATGTTGCATCTCCCGATATCGACCGGCGCGAAGTCTTCAAGCTGATCACTGCCATTTCCCAAAGTCAGCAGCCACTTCGCAAATTCGGCGTTGCCCTGTCGTGTCTCTTCGCTGTCCTGAGGTTTGCCTCTAAGCCGAAGGTTTTCAAAGAGGCTGAATTTCTCGATCATAGGCCACAGCTCACATCTCTTTAATGACGCCTGGGCCTGTTGCTCAATGCTTGCTGAGCGCACCACAGGCATGGTTTGTCAAAAATCCCCGGAAAAGAGCACAGCCACACTGCCAAAAGGTTCGTCAATTCCTCACAGATCGCGCAGGCTGCGGTCCACACACATGAGGACTGAATTGTTCTGCATAGCCACTTCGTCCCACACAAGAAATCATAATTTTTTTAGATTTTCGCCAAGCTTTTCCCCAAGACCGAAACCACATCTGGACTCGTCAGTGGTCCGCAACGGAACTTTGAAAGCCGTGTGCGCCGTCTGTCCTTTGAAAAGCAGGAGAGCTGCCACTCCGGAGGATGCGACCGCCTGAGCATCGATGTTGTTAGCATTGCAATAATGAAGACACACATTTAACACAAAAGTCTTCCCGGTCCCACCAGGTCCGTCCAGATACATCATCCCAGCCTTCCCAAGTCGCATCCAGTTGGCGACGTTGTCGAAGACCCTCCTTTGATCTGCGTTCATCTTTGCCTCCGCATCAGCCACTACCGCAGCACTGTGCTCAGGCGAGTGATTGGCGTCGATCTGTTCCTCGTAAAGGTTGCCTAGCATCGCCATGATTTCCAAATTGGCCGCGGGCAGACCGGCTTGGCTTAAACAGGTCCCCATCTCCTTCAGACATAGATCCAATCGATAAAGACCCAATGCATATACCATCTCATCCGTGACCTGCAAATCTGGATGTTCATTGCTTATAGCATGGCCACAATCATTGCACAAAGAGTCGCGATGTTTCTCCCACAAAGTCAAAGGATCGGCAGGAGGCGAATGTCTCAATATCAACGCGAGGAATTGTCGCAGTCCATGACCAGTTTTCCACCCTGACGCCTCTTGCAATGACTTGTCGTAATGCTCATCGTTCAGTAGTAATCCTAGTGCATGGGCAGCGCTTCGAAAGGTAGGATAAAGGTGTCCATCCACGCGACGGATATCTTCAAAGCCACATGGACCTCTGACGTGGCCCAGCAAGAGTCGGAGGTAGTACCGTTCACCATGCTGTAGTGAAGCGAAAAACGTCCTTGAGATGGCCTGACTTTTATTTGTGCGAAGCTTCCATTGCCTCTTCTCGTCATTCCACGAAAAAATCTTGGGCATCTCGCTATACACAAGATCTCTCACAGCCGGCCCATCCGCGCCGACCTTGAAGTTCTCGTTGGCAAGGCGAAAGAATTCCGTCAAAGTTGTCCTGTTTGCTCTGCCGCTGTCGATCCTTTCTGCCAACTCTTCCCCATCAACATAGTACAATTGTTGTGCACCCTTGAGGTGCAATGAGAGCCGCGTGACGCTTGGATACCTGCCGGCAATGTCAAATTGAAACAGCCTCCAAGCAGCTGTGAACTCACACGTCAGTTAACATCCAACACGAAAGTAAAGCATGACAATCACTAACCCTCAGGTGCACTTACAAACCTCCCGTCAACATACTTGAAGGTCTCGTCTTTGCATTCCACAGACACAGCGGACCGATCATGCCCCTTTGAGATGTACTTGTAAATGTACTTAATCGCGCGGATACCCACAGGAATTTCTACATTTATATGACAGTTGTACTTGAGCAATAGAAATGGATTATAAGGAACCACATCCCGATTAGTACATCGCCTGCTTCCCACTTCAATGCTGCGCCCGTGAGCGGGTCGTTTATACGTTGGATAGCTATCTTCCCCGATGATTGTAGTGGGACAATTGGGACGCGGGTAATTAAGTCGGCAATGTCCATTTTTATAGCAAGAGCAATCCCGAGTGCATGGTCCGTGAATCATGAACTTCTTTACGGCGTTGTGCAGGTCGGAATGGGTTTCAGGGTCAGGAAGGTCCGCTGATACCAGCTTATCAATGTCCAACGCCGTAGTCGGCATAGAGGCTTTGTCCACAATCAACAATAGATGGGCATGTGGTAGAGCCCGCTTTTGGAACTCAATTGGCCAAACCCAACAGACGGCTGTACCTAGGCGATTCTTCCTGGTAACATCATCCAACATTGCCCAAAATTTCAGTTGAAAAACTCGAGCTACTATGTCGGGTCTGTCTTGCGCAGTCTGTCCGTACCACAGGTGTTCGGAGATTTCACGCCATTCCGGGTTCGTCGTCATTGTGATGAAGAAAGATGGTTTTCCATAACATTGAACTAAAGCCATTGAGTCCTGATACAATTCTGACATATAACGCGGACCCCCAACGAAAGATGAGGGAAGGATGACTCGCTGGCTCGGGGCAACGTCGTTGCGTCCCATAGCCTCCATCACCCCAGAGTATAGGCACGCTCGAAGCTTCACTTGATTCGACTGAGCAAAACGCAGCCTCCACCGTTCTACGCAGACGTACAGATCCACCGTTAACTCCTGCAGCAGCCTCCCAGATGCCAATATTGCTGAAAATTCGTGGCGACGGTCGAACAAGACGTAGGCAAACCACTCCAGGTTCGTAATTTTTCCTTTGCGGTCTGGGAATCTTCAAGTTAGCACTGAATAACTTTTGTAACCAAAAGGCAATACGTGAACTAACGCTGTGTCCTCTCCATCCGGTAATGCTCATCGAATGATTGCGCGCCCCAAGGAAATAAGAGTGGATACCGTAATGCCAAATATCCTGTATGTAAGTCGCAAATCCTTTCATGACCTCCATGTCGTTTATACAAAACGATATCTCTACTTCTTTCGCCAACTTCCCCATTACCCTCAATCACCATAGCCACCTCATCAGTCGTTGGCCTATTGTAGCGTCGAGGATCCCGGTGCCCAGGTGGCATAGTCCGAACTCTTAGCGCTGCGGTGGGGTGGTTCGCAAAGATTTCACCAGAACGTCGGAACACTTGTGAATACGGGTTGAAACGGTAAAAAAAAACTTGAAATGTTTCCAATATTCGAAGGTTAAGATCCTTGCCACACGCTTTCGACCGCCGCCTCGCCTCAGTCGTCCCTCCTTCTCCCACAACATAGATCTGCGAAAAACCTGGGTGAAAGTCCTCGTCGGGCAAGAGGCCACCGATGCGATGCGACAATTCGCCCTGAATCCGGAAGGTATTGACCCCGTAGGGCCCATCCACGCTTCTGTCAATCCTTGCTCCTAATGAGGTGAATGACAGTGCGTTGTTATAGGACCTGATCAATTCTCGAAACTCCCGCAAAGCTGGCCCACAAGTGTCAGTTCAGCCATCTGCCATTCATCGAAGAGGGGACCACGTCAGCTTACCGCGGTCCTGCGAGGTCAGCAGGTACTCCAGGAACGCCGGCACAGCACGCGACCCAGCCATCTGCACCGGCAACGACACACCTCCCTTATGGCAACATTCCAGGTAGCTGTATGCTCTTGATTTCGGTGTACCCTTGGGTCGCTCACCCACCCAATGCAAAGCTCCACAACCCTGACATTCGTCATCCCTAGGCCCAACGTAATGCGGGATCTCAGCGTGGAACCGTCGCATGATTCCAGCTTCGTTATTTTCGGCCTCGTGTCGGACAGCTGGGCCAAAGTTAACCATGTTGTATGGGAAATAGATTGCAGGAATGTGTAATTAATAGGTCAAGTGTAGCAAAAACTCGAGAGCAATCAGGGTCATTCGATAAAAAGGATGTCTGCTTGTAGGAGAGCAGTGGTTGTCAAATGAACAATGCTCCACAAAAAAACCCTGAAGATTAATACTCTTTAGCAAAAAATTTCGAGTTCGAGACGTCAGCCTGAACAGTCCACCAATCAACGATCTAGACTTGGCCATGTTTCAGAGATGCATTCTCAATACGGCTGGCTCACTCTCAGCGATGTGATTACTCACCATAACCGATACACCACCGTCGTATTTGTTCCATACCACCTCATGCATCCAACCCTCCATCTCTCACCCGGTCACTGCCCCACAGATAAGTGGTTGCAGCGGCAATATTCACAGCGGCACAATTCTTACAACCTCTGAGACTCGACCAGTGGAAATACACCGTAACATTTCGCGCAACCACATAAGTAATCCCCAATCAGCCATTGTAATACCCTCCATCCTCTTCGAGGCTGCCAATCTAATCTCCACATGATAAGCTTTGTAGAGCATACCAATTACTACTTTTCCACTCAACAGACACGATGCCATCTAATCACTGCTTGGGTGCCATCCTGCAGGACCATCTCTGTGTGCCCTGGTGACCAAACGGCAATGAGAGAGCTGCGCGGTTCACATTGTCAGATTGTTTGAAGTTACGCAGAGCAAAACACCCGACACACCTTAACCATCCAAATGCCGTCGTTGTACTCAGCAGTGCTGCCAATAAAGTCGACGATATTCCCGATATCCACAATAGTCAGATCCAGTCTACACAATAGTTCTACGTCGCAACTGTACTTTGCAATGAATTCGACAAAACACAAAGCCTGTTCACACCATCACTGCAGACATTATTCGGGTTCCCCAAGTGGGCAGGGAAAAATGATTGGGAGTATGATTTGTCATAAAATGGTCTATCACTCCACACCTGAGCCATAACACCCACACTACATATGTGTAGCAGGCTCAGTGAATATGTGGTTATCATGTACATACAGTTCTGCTCAGTTATCTGCTCATCAGGACAAGTTATTCATATGTAATACATGCTGTAACTTCTTTCAGATTGAAAAAAGCTTCCAAAAGATTGACTACATACACTGACTCAATGTTTTGGTGTGATCTCATCAACTCAACTGCATGTAACACACTTTCTGTTACTAAGACATAGCTTCAACAATATTGCCTGAGCAGCTACAGAATTATATGTAGTGAATTTTTGGGAAAAAAATTTCAAAGTCGAAAAAGTTACATGTGGTATAACATGTGATTTATTTATTCTGATGGGCAAAAAACTGAGCAGACCTGTATGTACATGATAGACAACTATTGACTTAGCTTGCTGCACATATGTAGTGTGGGTGAAATGGCCCAGGTGTGCAGTATTAGATTCTTTTATGAAAAACTGTACTATTAATCATTTTCCTCTGCCAAATTGGGGAAGTTGAATGATGTTTACAGTGCATTCACGTCAATTCAATTTTTGACCGCTCAAAGAAGCAATGATTTCGCAGCCTACCGCATGATCCCAGTCCCTATGCATAACAGTAAAAATCAAATCGTTTGCCTCATGAGAGTCATCATGGCGATGCTTGTATGATATCACTTCGCCACGGCTCCTGACAGCAATGCTATTGGCCAAGGTACCGAAGCTCGGCCTCAACCCGTCGAGCTCAACTGTCAAAGCCTTGTCGGCGTACAGAACTGGACCCCCTGGCCGAGACCCACCAATTACAGGACCTTCCAAGCGATAGTATTGTGGAGCGCGAAGAGTGGCATTATGAGCATCTTCTACAATTGACATATTCACAACGGCCAGCTCCCTTCTACCCACTATTGCCTGAGTCGCGAAAAAGTGGCGATCCACAGCGCTGGCGCACTCCTGCTCACTCTGCGTCGGAAGCATTGCGGTGAGTTTGCACTGTAAAGTCCAAGATGAGGAAGAAATACACACCTTACTCGTCAGCGCAAAGACACCATTAAAACGCATCTCGCAAGACCCATGCATAGTAGAATTCGTAGGCAAATAACTCATGATGTTAGCAAAAAGAAAGTGCAGAGACTGGCGATTGATAGAGATGCACGACCTATAGTGGTGAAGTGGACTACCAATGATACGTGGATCAATTATTATAAAAAGCGCTTGGCTTATAACTCCGCCCCTTCACCATAATCCCATGTCGAAGAGGAATGAGCAAAAGCACCTGCAACACGACCGATTTAGCGGAAGCCTTTCGAAGTTCCCTTATAGCGGTGAGTACAACCACTAAACCTCCATTCCTCCTGCGACTTATGCCACACCAACATTTTTGGCGATTCGCAGGAGGCAACTTCTGTGTTGCAGACCACAACGTAGTTGAACACCCCACCGGGTTTGCAAGGTACCACAGAGATCCAGCCATAAGACCCTGGAGACGTACTCATAAGCGTTGCAAAACTATGCATTGGGAGCAACTTACAAGCTCTGCAGGTCAACACTTTTACCCACCCCAAATCACCGTGCGATGTATTTCCCATTAATGATAAAACAATGAGGTGAACCGTGTAGGGTCCACTTTTAAAACCTTTCCGCCTGGAATGCATTCCACAGCTTATGTTTAAACACCATTGTGGAAAGTCGCGATGAGCCCTTCAATTCGGGCAGCACCGCCCCAGTCGTCATTTTTCTGTTTGCTGTAGCGCCGCAGTAGGCCAAGTCAGAGAGTGACCCAGCCACGCCAAAGTGGTCACTTGTGTCATCAATACATCGCTGTTTTCCACTCTGACCTGGTCGTCCCTGTCGTTCAACCTGAACCGACCCCGCGCTGGGCAAGTTCCAACGGTGGCGAAGTAAGGTAAATGTTCCATGAAATCCCTCGCACACATGGTTACACACAATTCACGTGTGTTCCCCGAGCACACGAATATGTTTGTAATCATGGGCGTGACCAAAAATCGCGGCTGCCCAAGATACAATCAGCGACTGAATCAATAACTGGCCACTCAAGCCGGCGCTTGGCAGCTGTGTATTCAAGGCCTGAGATGGCGTTTGCAATTAAAATCCTGGGTAATGCAGGGGGTATGGGATCGCTACAAAGGTGAACCCAGGTGGCAATGGGATCAACGTGCTTAGCGAGCGTAGGCCAAGTGGGACAAGCAATAAGTAGATCACCGAACACCAATTTGTTTACTAATCATTGCAGAAAGGGTACGCGGTCGCAGATGAGAGAAACCAAACACCGTGCCCTCCGTTGGCTTGTTTGAAAGCGGAAAAGAAACCGCGACCCATACTTTCAAGAGATAACGCGCGTGAACAGAGAAAACCGATTGGAATAGAGAAGTTGATGAAGACAAATATCAAATTATGGTATAGATCATTGCGAGAGGCTTTCACTCTTGAACATAAGATGGGATTGGCTCGGGGTCAGCATGAATTATATCCAACTGCTTTACAATCTACCGCGCTTGGTTCGTTGAGCGTTGGGTTGTGGATTGATTGGACCTGCTGCGTTGGCATCCGCCAGTATGTTGACATTCTCATCACCAGCTGGTGTGGACACCTGATGTAAGTAAGACGCTAGCGCAGCCTGGTCTTCGGCAGTCGGCTTAGACATCACAGTTGAGATGCCGGGGGCAATCAGAGTTGGAGGGCTGGCAGACCAAAAGTAAGTAACAACTCAACGTAGGTAAACGTGTGTTGTCGAAGAAGAAAGCGAACTTGAATGGGCTATACCTTGAAAAACCGGGCACCGTCATAGAAGTGTTAGAGCTTGACGCAGGGGTTGGAGAGGTATCCGGCTCACTCGAAGGGTTTTCCGTCGCACTGGGATTATAAGTGATCGTCACAGATACATCGATGAGCGGGTGTGCGTATGCCAAAAAGGAAAATGCTTACCGTTGGAGTCGCACCCTCCCACCTTTGGTCAATCGAGTAGCAGTCGGAGTGGTGAGAGTGGCACCTGCCCTGATGCTCTCGTGGCCGGTGGCAACGGAAAGTGAATACACCTAGTTATAAACGCAGTCAGTTCACATAACCTTTTGAACGAAAATGCAGGGGAGAGTACCTCGACTTGAAATACATAATTTTTAACCTCTTTACCACCAATTACCTCGGATTGGATGTTCTTGCCAGCGATATAACCGTGAATGCTCATCTCTTTGCCCAACTGTATTATGTTGAGAGCTTTCGCCAGGTTGCGTACGGGACGACACCAATACTCCAATAAGAATTCGCAGAGTTTCCCAGTCTGTCACGACCCAAAAAAACAGTAAAGCCACGGCGGGTTAGCACAGATCGCAATTTGCCAAACGTGATGCAGCACACACCATGGGATTGTAATCTGTGTGTCGCATTAGAAAAACACAGGTCGGTTTACCCTCGTGTGCCTCCTTGTGCAGGACTCGCTTGCTGACAACGATTCCGATGGAGTTGAGAGCAACATTGTTAGTCAAACAGCCAGAAAAAGTGTCCGCGTCGCCGGCAGGGATGTGATGGCTGAGTTCGGTGACTAAGCGAGGCACGGCGTCGCCGTTCAACGGCAAGAATTTGCCAGAGGTGTAATGCATGTTGCCGACAGCTAAACCTACACCTTGTGCCGCGTAGTAAGTGATTAAGAGATCGTGCTCTAGAGGGGCATTGCCGTCGATACCTGCACAGTTCAGGCCAGAAGTTACGGATTGGAAACCATACGCGGCGTTCACAGTGGCAGGAACCTGATGCGAAAACGTCAACGTATGCTCGGGATTGCCGAGATTGAACAAAAAAGAAATGAGATAGCTGACTTGAGCATGGACCTCGAAGATTGAAGCGATATACGCTGGCTGGGAGCGACGATTGACACCTAACGACATGATTGAATATGTAGGTAGAGGAAAGTAATCACGGCAGGGAGGATGATCACGCTGAACCAATGGGGGATGGGCAGCCTCACAAGGATTGATATATATAGGTCGTTGGATGTGAAGAGGGATTAGTCCTGCGCTGGACTGGTGCTGCAATGCAAATTCTACGCCTAACGAGCCTACAGAAGGGAAGAACCATACCCACGTACCCTTGAATTACGGTGCCGGCGGCGTCGAAAATGTGCGATGTGTGGTGTGAGGAATGTTCTAGTGATAGGTCACGGTGTATTCCATCTGTTGAGGAAGCTGTAAGGGACGCAATGTCTGATGGCATGAAAGTGTCAAGTGATCGGAATGCAAAGTCCCGATAAGTAACATGTTCACACACCGCGGAGCCCCAAAAGATCGGACCCTTGTGTTTCATCTCCCAACATAGTGGATGGCACACACTGCAGACATTATTTGGGTTCCCCAAGTGGGCAGGGAAAAATGATTGGGAGTATGATTTGTCATAAAATGGTCTATCACTCCACACCTGAGCCATAACACCCACACTACATATGTGTAGCAGGCTCAGTGAATATGTGGTTATCATGTACATACAGTTCTGCTCAGTTATCTGCTCATCAGGACAAGTTATTCATATGTAATACATGCTGTAACTTCTTTCAGATTGAAAAAAGCTTCCAAAAGATTGACTACATACACTGACTCAATGTTTTGGTGTGATCTCATCAACTCAACTGCATGTAACACACTTTCTGTTACTAAGACATAGCTTCATTTGGCTGATCAATGCTGAGAGAAAATTTTGATTACTACAAAACCCCATAACTTCGTCAATTCTGGCTCAAAACACTCGATTTTGAGTGCATTGGAAAGCTGGTATTTGCCTGAAGATAGTTCATAAATGAACCAAATACGTGGCGGGCCTGCAAAGAAAGATATCCACCATGAAATCAAATTTCACATATCATCAAATAGAATGTCAGCCATTGGGATTACACATTTTGAGTCAAAACGAAAGTTGTAGTTCAGGAATTCAGCTTTCTAATGCACCCAAAATCGAGTGTTTTGAGCCAGAATTGACAAAGTTATGGGGTTTTATAGTAATCAAAACTTTCTCTCAGCACTGATCAGCCAAATTCCAGCATCTGTTACAGGTGGTAATCTGGTGATTATGAGGGTTTATTGTTAGTACACTCACCAATATGAACCCCAAAAATACGGAAAAATATGCAGATTGGAGATCTCATACCAAGGAACAGGATGCATATTTTTTCACATTTTTTGCTCTGTTTCTGACCTTTCCAGATTTTTGTATACAAATAATTTAATTTTCTGCCCAGAAAATGTTATGTTTCTTGTAGTGTAATTACTTCATCCTCCACAGACAACATGTTTCCACGCTCACGACGCAACACTCGATCCACTTCAAACGTTTACCATTTTCCTATCTCTGTGTCCGGCAGTTCCGTGACTCTGGTAGTCGAGCACCAAGTCCGTGGGCCACCTCACGTCATTGTTCTTCTTGGTCACGGCTCTTCGCGCCACGACGTGACATGGACTGCACAAGTGAGTTCATTGCTCAAGCCGCTTCCAATGTGACCCCGCCTGACTGTTGATCTTCGATTGCCAGTCTAACACCGCACGACTCATTGGCCCTCAGACGTAACTTATGGACCTGATTGTTGGTTCTCCGCTCGCGCGATGGGGATTCTCCTCATGACGACACTAATTGTACCGTTAAGCGCGTCGAAAACGATTAGTTCGCTCATATCATGCTCCAATTGATTTATTATCACTTGACAACACACTTGTTCCAATACACTTTTGTTCTCGACACCATTACTGCTCATGCGTCAGATGAGAAGGCTGCTCCATACATCTCAGTGCTCGACCAATTAAATTATACCCGTCCGGGCATTTCTGCCCTGTTTCTTTCAATAAAAAAGATTCGTTGATCCAACGTTCAACGGCCCATTGGGTTGTGTCATTTCATGCTTCTCGTGAGATACGCCCAATTCTCAATGAGCCATCCGTTGCCCCGTACAACAACCCTGCACTCCACGCGAACTTGACTCTCCTGTGCCACCCTCAATCACTGATCAATGGCCCAAAACCAACAACCCCAAAGAGTTACCCTCGATGGTGAATTCACACTTGGAGACATCGTGAGTTGTGTTACTGCGTGATACTGATGGGCAACGACTTCGTCATAGGATCAAGGGACATCATGAGTTGTGTTACTCTGTGAGGCTGATGGGCACTGACTTCGTCATAGGTTCAAGGGGTACCTTCCGAACAACATATGGACTTCAGACGCTTCTGGACTCACTTGGTCAACTCTTGCACGGCCACAATCACCACGCCAACAATTGTTTGTGAGCCCTTCGGACGTCATGTCCTCAGCTGTAACCGGACCTACGCATTCCGTGGAAGCCTTCTTCTTTTGCCGTATCCCAGGGCGCCGGTGATTCATGTTGATTCAACTCAATGCCTTGAGGTTGACACAGTCGCGAACTTGAACATCAGTCCGATCCAAACCATCAATGTTTCTTCCATAGGCAGAGTCCGCTCTTGCACCCTGTCACCCGGGCAATCCCACTGGGATGTTATCATGGAACACCGCGACTACGAACCGCACGTGAGTCACTTTAAGTAGTCACGTTTCGAGTGAGTCTGACATTGCTCTTAGGAACGGGAGAACTATGACTTCATACTCCACTACGTCATCAGCACATGGATGATGACGAACTCTCCTCCTGGGACATTCGAACCGGGTGCTTCACTGTGCATACTGGGATTCATTGCCTCTCACGGACCCGATCCCGTCGCATGGTCAATTCGCGTAAGTGTCTCCGTTGTTCTCACCACGACTGGTCTGACCCAAATACTTCAGGCCTTGTACGTCTCGTTTATGCCAGTTGAACAAGCGGGCAACTAGGACCGTACCAGATCACGCATGTCAAGCGCGCGCTCAATTCTTGTCATTGCGTAATAACACACCCGACCCAGACACTCATGTATTCCGTGCAACCATTTCTGATCGTATCCTAAGTGTATTTGATCTAATGTCAACATCAATTACTACATCACAATATTATTACATTTATACACAGTATTACAACGATGCAACATGAGGCTCAAGTCTTGCCGAGACTCGAAGTTTCTTCCATACTAACCACCTTCTAATAATGCTTTGTACACAACGTTCATTGTGCACAGTTCACGTTCAGCTTCAGTGACCACTACCTGTGTCCGGGCAGCAGACGTACATCTTGACAAGCCTACGTATAACTGACTGTGCGCAAAAACTGGCGTTGGTAAGACTAAACAAACGTTGTTGAGAGTTTGTCCCTGTGACTTATTGATCGTCAAGGCGAATGCTAAAGAGACGGGGAATTGAAAACGGTAGAATGATATTGGTGCAGCTTCATTCCCAGGGTGGTGTAGTGACATCATTGGCAGGGACACACTCAATCCGCTCTTTGCGCCGTTTACAATTAGACATTGAAGGGCATGGTCAGACATCGCCGTTACGAGAAGCCTGGTTCCGTTGCACAAGCCAGTTGCAAGGTTTAAGTTTCTCAGGAGAACAACAACGCATCCTATCTTGAGCCTCACGGTATGATGGGGAAAACCGGGAAAATCAAAGGTATTGAGAATGTCGGCAGTCACGTGTTCCTCATTTTCTTCATCAATATGGTCGATTGAATCATAAACCTTGTGCACTCCGTCAATGGAGTCCAGAATGGAGCTATTTAGCTTGTCGACGCTCTGATTGAGGGTTGTAATAATTGCCCTCGAACCGTAATGAATGGCAAGTTGTTCCCAAGCTGTTCGCCGAACCATGCCATTCACGGCGCAATAGAAATCTCGTATGTTGGCCGAGCCTAAGCTATTACTTGGCTTGACACTGGTACAGTGAACATGTTGGATTCGAATCTTCTCTTGTGTCTGTGATTGTAGCTCACCAGAACCAAGCCACAGTAGCCAATCAGCGAAGGCGTTCGAGTGTGTCCCCGTTTTGTGACATGTCATCGACTCTCCCAAACGCATGTTGACTGTCAGCTTGAACTCTTCCGTTTCTTCCCACAGGTAAGAATACTTGAGACACGCCCTTACCGAGTCCATGACACTACCGTGAGGGATGACAGGCAAGATTTGCCTGAAGTCGCCCGAAAAGAGTACTGTGATACCACCGAACGGCTCGTCAATTCCCCTCAAATCCCAAAGTGAACGATCGACACACTCGATGGAGTCTTTGTTCATCATCGAGATCTCATCCCAGACTAAAAATTGTGTGAGCAACAGGTGACGCCCAATGGATGTCGAAGGCGAGAAGGAGCAGGTCGATTCCTCAGTCGCATTGAGGGGGATCTTAAGCGCTGAGTGTGCCGTCGCTCCCTCTAATAAGAGCAACGCTGCGATGCCGGAAGAGGCGGCGGCAACAAAAGGTGTCCCATTCGCATTGCAATGGTGGAGACATGTGTTGAGTAAGAAGGTCTTTCCACATCCCCCCGGTCCGTCAACAAACAAGACCCCACCGGACGCAGTCTGAATTCGAGCCGATACACACTCATAAATAGCACGCTGCTCTTGAGTCAATTTTGGGACCGCGCCGCGTAGGAACACCTCGCTTTCTTCGACTGTCACTCCATCCAAGTCAGCATCATCTCGAGAAATTCCCAATGGGTGAAGAATCGCCCAATTGACCGGCTGGAGTCCAACTGCCTCAAGCGAAGAGCCCATATCTTCAAGCCCCGTCTCGAGAAGTGACAATCCGTAGTGCTCTAACTGACCCTCAGATGGTTCATGCGTAGGCCTAGTTAGTGCCAATCGATACTGGCAATTGTCGATTAAATTGTCCAAGTGTTTGTCCCATAGTGCCTGAGGATCCGCCGGTGGACTATGAACAAGCAGTATGGCAAACATGTCACGAAGCTGGCCACCCGTCTTGAAATCCGCGGCTTCCGTCAGACAAGCATCATAGTGCGCGTCGCTTAACAATAGCCCACGAGCGTTAGCTGCCGCTCGGTAAGATGTGTAGACTACACCATTCACTGATTTCAAGTCTCGAAACGACATCGCACCACGTGTAGATGTCAAGAGTAAGCGGAGGTAATATCAGTCTCCATGTCCCGGCTTTGCAAAGTATAGACGTGAGACAGTCGCTGAGTCCTTGACTCTCCGAGACCACTCCTTGTCGGATTTGTTCCACCAAAAGTATTTCGTCATTTCGGTGTACAGCAGAGAGCGCGTCGTCAGGAATGTACGGTCTATTTGTACGTTCTGTGTACACATTCTCATATATTCTGACAGTGTTGTACGCGTGGCGCGTCCATTGTCAATCGCTGCACAAAGACCTTCCCGGTTGCGAAAGTAAACCATCTGATTGTCCTCGTCGTGTAGCGTCAGTCGAGTTATCGCGGGGTGGCGTCCTGACAAAGAATATTTTAGTAATCTCCATGCCGCTGAATCGAAAGTCAGTATTCATGTCGCATAAAGAGACGATAAATAGCTTACCTTCTGCAGCCCCGAGAAACCTTGCGTCTATGTAGTCGGTCGGTTCGTTATCGGTATCAAGACTCAAGTCTTGCCGATCATGACCCTTTGCAATATACTTGTAAAGATACTTAACGGCCTTCATGCTGACCGCAATTTCAACATTAATATGACATCTGAATTTGAGTAAGAGAAACGGGTTATACGGGACAATGTCCCTGTTGGTGTATGTATGCCCGTTTTTCTGGAACGTCACTCCGTCGTCCGGCCTCCTGTACTTTGGATACGCTCCTTCCGTCATCAGGGTCGTTTCTTGAAAGGGTTGTGGAAAGCCATATTTGCATTTGGTTCCATTCCAAAAGTCCTCCCCTCGCCACATGGACCGTGCACCATGTATTCGGTGACCAGGGAATACAGTGTCGGTTCGTTCTCTTGGTCGGGGATAGTCGCGCGAACTAGCATGTCCACGTCGTGAGGTGTCTTTGGGGTTGAAGCTTTGTCTAGGATGAGAATGTTGTGAGTATGAGGTGATCCCCGTTTCTGAAATTCTACCGTGTGCACATCGGAAACACAGACACCTAACCTCCTGCGTTTCATCACGTCACAATGAAGTTCCTTCAGTTTCATATGATAAACCCAAGCAATCAAATCTGGTCTGTCCTCGGGTGATTGACCCGTGAATAAAGCCTTCGTCACTTCCTCCCAATGCGTGTTAGCAGTCATAGTAATGAAGAGGCTAGGACGTCCGAAAGCTTTCACCAAAGCCATTGTATCTTGATAAAGTTGATGCATGTGCCGCGGGCCGCCAATAAAGGTCGCAGGCAGGATTACGCTACGTCCAATGGTCAAATCTTGATTGTCCAATGCTTCAGTCGCGCCATTGTAGAGCTCTGCTCTCAGCTTCGGTTGATTCTTGCCAATAAACTTTAGCCTCGCGTTTTCAACACAAACGTACATGTCCACCAAATATTCCTGAAACAGTCTCCCGCCTCTCAATATCGCTGAAAATATGTCATGGCGTTGAAATAATGTATATGCAAACCACTCAAGGGCTGTAACCTTGCCCGCAAGGCCTGCAGGGAAGCGTAAGTCAGTTTCAAGTGAATCACTTTATGAGCATCCTAGCTTACGTTTCTCTGTAAAGTGTCTATAATGCTTGTCCCATCCATGGGAGCCATACATAAAGAAAAGCGGGTACCGAAGTGAAAAGTAGTTTGTGTTTAATTCGGAAATTCGCTGCAATTCACCCGACTGGCGATGGAGAATAATGTCACGGTCTTTTGAACCCACAATCCCGTCTCCAGGCAAGATTGCCGCGACTTGACTGCAGGTGGGATAATTGTATCAATTTGAGTCGCGTCCATGGCGCTGAAGCGACTTAATCTTGATAGTTTTCACTTGGCCTGGCCCCAGAATAGCTTCCGCTGCTTTATACAACTTAGCAAAAGGATTGTTGTGATTAAGGAAGGCCTGAATGGTGGCGAGAGTTTGAATATTCATGCCCGAGTTTGTCGGCTTTCGTAGTGCAAGTTCTTCTTCAGCCTGGTCGCCGAATATGAACATTTATCCGAAAGTCTTTGCTGCGCCGTCCAAAGGGAGAAGAGAGCCTATCAAGTGAGTGAGGGAACCTTTGATTCGGTAGGTCCACGCACCGCCGTTGCCTGCGACAGTTTTGTCCTGCTTCGCGGCGGTGGAAGTAAAGGAAACTGCATTATTGAATGCCCGAATATTGTTTCTGAAATTTCTGGACACTGTAGAGCAATGTTAGTCCTGGACGCATCGCGAATTCACTCGCATGACGCTCAAACTCACTCCGGTCCTGGTCAGTGAATAGTCGTCGAAGGAAGCCAGGCGTAAGGCCGTCTTGCAGGTGATCACTTGGAAGGCCAACTGCTTCTTGTTGACAGCAAGTCGAGTAGTTGACTGATGCAGAAGCCATGGTCCTTTGAGTGCGCTCTAATCTCCAATGCAGCGCTCCACACGTCGCGCAAGGATCGTCGCAATCGCCGACGTTGTAGGGAATTTCGCTACGGAACTTCGCCAGAATAATATTTTCATTAGTCTCTTCGAGGGTTGAGCATGCTAATCCACACCCAGTCACTACTTCTTCGTCGTCGGAAGACGAATGAGTCGAGTCGCTATCGCTGCTCGTAGCCTTGAGGCGGTATAGCGTGGTTTAAGTGGCGGGAAGCAGGCCAAAGAACTGTTGTGAAAGGTCGGGATTAGGACAAAGTTGAAGGATGGAATCACCTTGAGTAGCAAAACGATGAAAGGGCTGTCGTGGGGAGACTCGGATCACTGGTCTTTCAATTCTCTATGGGAAGGAAATATATGTAGTTACGATGCTCATTGAATCCAAGTGGTCAAATGAGCCTGGCCGGTTCAGGAGTGTAGCCAAATTGGTTCAGTCGTAAAGTATCACATGGGTCATGCATTGCAATTGGAATGAAACAAAGCTTAGAAGACATTACGTCTTGTTCAAGAAAACAACTGGGGGTGCAAGAACTGGACTGGATAAAACTCGGAGAGAACCGAGCAAACAGATCACCTTCGGAACTGGTTAGGCTCCTTTGGACTTCTTCGCTGCCCGTCCGGCTGGCGCACGTTTGGAAGTGCTTGGCCCCGCCTCAGGAGCCTCTGGGGGCGTCATCACAACATTTCCCTCCTCGTCAAAATATCCTTCTTCCTCTGGAGGCGGCGCACGCTTCTTCCCTTTGGTTGGAGTGTTGGCAAAGGAACCCCCCGCGGTCGAAGTACTAGGACTAGACGTGCTGACGTGTCTGCTTGGTTTGTCAGCCAAATGAATCGCAATGATGGAATTAAGCATGTACTTACTTAGCCGGCCGAATCCGACCAGTTGGAGTGACTTTGGTACCGGCCATTTGTCGCTTCTTGGTGGGCGCCTCATGTCCGCTGGCAACGTTGAGCGTCGTGACCTAGGAGGAATGCAGTGTCAGTCAGTCACGGGATTGTCAAAAAGTTTAGTAGCTTACCTCGACGATCCAGCGGTTGTTCTCATTGTCCCAGTCAACGATGAAGCCGTGAACTAACGTCTCCTTCCCATCTTGAATGAGTACTTGTGAGCCTTTCATTTTGATTGAGGGCCTTATCCGATATTCGACTTCGAACTCCACGCTTTCACGGAGCTAGATTAAATTGGATTAGCGTCGACCAAGTCGTGGAGAAGTCACGATGAAATGACTCACTTGAGGATTGTAGTCTACATGGCTCATGGTAAAGGCAAGGGTGACGTCGTCCGTGTCTGGTTCGGGAAGTTCGTGGCGTGAGGAGACTGTTCCAAATCCGGAAGCGGAAGTGTTGTTGTGTAGCTCGCCAGCGAACGTGTCGGAATTCCCAACAAGGATTTTGTGATCAGCTTCAAAATAAAGCTTGTAATCGGCGGATTCGGTGCTAGGTAACATTTTTGCCTTGATTGCATAGCAATGATTGTCCATTGGAACCTCCATTAAGCTACAGTATGTGATTAAATCGCCATCGTATTCACGCTCGTTGTCGCCGTCCCAGCCGCTGCAGGTGATAGCCACAGTAGTCCCTCTGTACGTGTAGTTACGGTTATCTGCTGGGGCGAGCTGTGACGTGAGCGAAGGGCGTCAGCGCAAGATCAATTGGGTAAGTGAGGAACGAACTGACGGTTTTGGACACTTCAAAAACACTTGAGACTATGAAAGAGTGCGACTTCTTGACGGGAGCGTTGGACTGATTCTTAGTGGAGATTTTGGACATGGTCACGGTGATCTTGTTAAACAAATCCGAATGTGTGTCGTTTGCAAATGCTGTGAAGTTAACTGTCGAGGTGCGTATTGATCAAGTGAAGGATCACACGAATAGTCAAGTTGCAATTTGGACAAAGTACGTTGAAAGTCGAAGTAAATGTTTTTGAAAGCCTAGTAGCGGTATCAAATGATAGTTCAGGGATTGTGCCGTAGCTAGAATCGGACAAAGGGGTCGAATGGTTATTGGAGAGCTAGTCGGGTGCGCGATGATTGGGCTGGTGATGACACAGATATTCAGATTGCAGTTTGATCAAAGTAGGTTACAAGTCAAGATAAGGGTTTTCGAAGGCCGAGCAGAAAAAATCGAATTGGATTTCGGGAGTGTGCTTCAACTCGAATGAGACAAAACCGTTGAATAGCTATTAGTGAAAGGGTCAATTGAGTTTGTGGTGTATGAGAAGCAGTTTGAGAGGGAGAACTGATGTACCACCTTTGGGAGAGACGAAGAGGAGAGTTTTTATGCCATCGTTGAGTGTTGACGCAGAGTGTCCATGATTGGTCCAAGAAGGCGGGATAGCAATAGGCGACCGTGTGTTAGGAACAATTGACTGGGAGTTAGGGTGTCCAACGGATGGTGTGGCGTAGATTTTTGTTAGCATAGCCAGGCACGAAAAGAAACATTGAGAGTGTAGATGCCCAGCCGTTTCTGGAGTAGGTTGAAATGTGAATACGTCACGTGGCAATGTCGCAGAGGGGGCGCAGTGACTTTGTTGTGAGTGCCATTCGATGGAAGCAGCGGTTGGAAGTAGTGGGAGGGGTGGTTAGTTGCCAAACGCGCGCAGGGTGTATTTTGAAGCAAGACTTGACGGGCGGAGCATGAGATGACGTCGGTTGCAGGGGGAAACGGCGTGGCGACGTCGATGAAGTCGAATTACATGTCTTGGAATTGGGACCTGGAGACGGTCGTCTCTGTTCGTGATTTTATTTTATAGATAGGGAGATTTTTTCACTTGGCCAAATGCTACTCAGTTATTTATTTTGGATTCAAAAATTTGTTGATATGTAAGCAGTATGTTTCAAATCATATAGCACCGTGGAAAAACCTAGTACTGAGACAGTCGCAATGAGAAGAGCTCTGCCAATGCCTCTAGTTCCGCAGGGAGCCCTGTGATCTGGAATAGAACTCCATCCACTTGTCACCAAACCACAATCCAAGTTCTAGAGGTTGAAGTATTTCAAAACATCATTGTATCTCTCTGTAGGTAATGCAACAGTCTTTGGCCAAAATTAACCCATGTAGTCACCTTCAAGGCTGAGTTATCTTTCATGGTTGATTATATTTAAATAGTTGTCTTTGTTTCATTGTTTGAGTGTGTTATTGTTGTGGTGAAGGTTTTGATCTCAATTCACTACAAGTGTTGGATCATGCAGTGTACTGGCTGCAGTCTAGTATAGTTAGATAAACCACAACAAAGAATCATGATTCTGGTCAATGTTAAGTATATGAGGGTCAAAAGAACTGCACATACCAACTAGTTGTAGGTTGGATCTTGACACCTTTTCAGCCGGTAAATCTGTATAAACAAGTCCTTTTGTTGTTTTTGTCACTTTGTATGGATGTATTGTGTAAGTGCCGTTGTGTCTAGCTAGAATAAGAATATAAGATGAAACAGGTATAAAGAGTTGGAGAAAAAGATGCGTACCCGCCGTAGAATAAAGAATAAAGCACATCAAAGAAGTACAAAAGGAATTAAAGGATGTGATGACACTCTCACCAGAAGAAACAAAGAAGCAACATGAAAATGAATCAAGAAAAACACCCAATTGGAAAAAAAGCAAACAAGTATGGCTTAATAGAAAATATGTATCAACAACAAGACCTACAGGTAAGTTTTTGAACTGCTGGCTAAGCCCTTTTGTCATTGATGAAAGATTTTTGACAAATGTTTATAAATTAATCATCCCTAAGACGGTGAGCAGGATACACCCAGTGTTCCATGTCCATCTACTCCAGACATTTGATAAAAGAAAGATGTCAAAAAATGTACAGCCTATTGCAGTAAAACAAGTTGTCTGAGGCTGTAAAATTTACCATAATTCTAAAAATTCATGGCACCTTTTTAGGTATCCCAAATTCATAAAACTGTATATTTATGTAAGAGTAAAACAATTTGGACAAGTTGGAGAACTTTTGAGGTAGTTTTTATAGCTGACCAATTGAAAAAGATAAGACAAGTCAAGGTCATCTCTTGATCTTCTTGACCAAAATCATCTCTTTGAATTTATCCCTTCTTTACCTCTTTACCTCAATTGTCTTGAAATTTGGTTTTGGTTCTCTTGAAACCTTTTCCAAGTTTTCTATTGAATTGACTCTTTGAATCTCAAGCTCAACTTCAATCTTCATTTTGTTCAAGATTGACTTAAATATTGATTTATTTCAAGCTCAACCTTGGTGTTCAAGTGGAAAATCACTAAACAGGCTTGGAAACAAAGGTGAGACCAGCAGGATTCAGATTATCAATAAAATAAATAGAGATGAATTGCATTCAATTGATGTGGTAAAGAAGGAAACAAAAGTTCTGAGGCTGGATTGGCTTGACCAATCACAAATCATCTGGTGAAGCGCTGTCCGGATACTAAAACAGACAAGTTTCCTCTTTTTACACTCATATATTTTACAGCATCTTTCATGAGATTGGACAAGTTTTTAAAAATTCACTGTTGTCAAAAACTTGTCCTTTTTTTACAATTTACGCAAAAATAGTTCAACTTGAAACCCCCTACACCATGTAAATTTCTTGGTAGCACATCAATGTGCACACACAAAAAAAAAGTCATAGAGGATTGATAGAACCTTTGAACAGGTCTTTGGATCCAAAGACTTTCCCTTTTTCCAGGTGCTCAGAAAGCAAGACCTTTGTGAAACAAATTTGCAGGTCTGTCCTGCTGTGCGCACATGTAGTTCAATAAAACAATTTTTTTCAAATCTTGCCGTGTGTGTACAATGCCATGCTACAAGGAATTTTACACAGTGCTAATGTCCCAAATATTTATGAGCAGTAATTTACACATATTAGGGGGTTTCAAGTCCAAAAAATTACACCATTTTGCAGCACAAGTTGTCCAACGCTGTAAAATTTACCATAAATTTTAAAGATTCAGGACACCTAAAAAGGTGTCCCAAAAGCTGTTGACTGTATATTTTCAGAAAAAAAAACTGTAGAATTAAAAAAACTTCTCTGTTTCTCAAAACGTTTCTGACTTGAAACCCCCCATTTTGCAGCAATCAGAAAACCCAAACAACTATAAAACCAAGAAGACTAAACAAACAACATGAGGTAAAAAAGAAGAGAAAGTTGTCAACACTGATATTGGTATAAGCATCAAACACCCACAACAGCAAAAAAGTTATAGATCAATGGCTTCTCAAGAAGCTGTTGATTACTGTTGACTGTTACTGACCATCTTGTTTTATGAAACAGGAAATCTTCTCACAGCAGTTTTCCCCAATTTCTCAAAGAGACACCTTAAAGAGCTCCTGATATACAAACCAAAACAGAGAAGCTTGCTTTCTGGCATGGGAGAATCACACAACCAGGTCTTGTGGGTTATGAAAACAATAATAAACACCTTGATTTCACCATCAGATTGGACACTGAACAGCTGAGAAGTGCAGATAGGTGTGGGAAGGTGAGCAAGAGGTCAATATAGAGTTATATGGTCATTACCTCAACGTGATGGCAAGGCGAGGTTTCCTGATATATTAAATGTTTCATTGCATTCTTCTGTCAGAACCACTACTTCCATGGTCACCCAATCAGTTAATTATGGTCTTACTGTGGAGGACAGAGTGTATCAAATGAGCCAGCTCAATTTTGAGTATGATGTATGACTGGCCTTGACTTTTTGAAAATGATATAGAAGTCCAGAACTAAGAAATAAATAAGAACTGCCAAAATCACATTCCTCTGCCTATGTATTAGGAATCTTGACATCTCAAGGAATACGTCCATATGTCCATCATTAACCTCTTTTGATACTTTGAGGACTGTTGATATAAACTTACAATTATGAAAATTCTTTGCCAAACTATCTAGCTGCTTTGTCTGATTCAGCAGGATTCCAACGCATCACTATTACCTTGCCCTCTCTCCTCCGGTCATCGTGCCATCTTCCATTCTCAAACTCTTTATCGGTTATATAACCCAAGTCTTGAAGAAAACTCCCTACTCTCGCCTTTCCCTGTGATGTTTGGTTGCTGGTGACATCTAACAGGTTGCTAAACAAAACGATATGTGAGGGCCACTGGAAGGATGACTCATTAACGATTGATCCAGGGAATCGATCATTCACTGCGCTTGGAAAGTGGTCTACAAGAAACTTGATTGGATCTTCATAGAAACTATCCGATTGATCTTTGTATATCGCCAGGTTCTGACCACTGTGAAACCAAAACGGAGTTACAGTCAGGTGAAGATGACGGTGATGGATAGCTAAACAAAAACACTTCACTGGATTGGAGGCTCGCACGAAAGCATCCACAATAAAGATCCGTTACGAGCTTCAGATGCAAGATGAGCTCGATGAAGATGGCTCTGCCATGGTGTAGAGTGACAAGGTGCGAGGAGGCCGACAGACTGGAGTTCAGTCTCAGGAACGCCTCGAAGATAATCAACTACTGCCATTTGCCCACGGTATTGGAAAGTCAGTAGATAGAGAGCTGCTCCAAATGCGATGACGGATCGAACAATAAACCCGATTGGACGGGCCTGGATGGTGCGCTCAAGCCAAGATGGTTGAGTGGGAGTCGGATGAAGAGAACGAAACTCGATATAATTGTTCACCATCGCCCGACCCGCAAAAACACAAAATAGTGGTATAAGAGGTTGGATGAACCTAAATTCTTTGTGGGGCAATACCGAGAGCACTAGCATCGTTCCCAAACACGCAAACCGAGCTGAACGCAACCTGAGAAGCACCAGTTCATTCTCCAACCCAACTTTGGCGACGGAGAGCGACATCATGCCTATGATGACCGTTGGGAAGAGTGAGAGGTTGACAAAGGTAAAAGCCTGAGTAAAGTAGAAATGCCATCTGTTGAGACCATAGAAGCTAGAGAGGGAATTATAGACGTTTTGCCGAATGAAATTGAGGGGGGTGAAAGTAGGAAGACGGTAAAAGCACGAGTCTAATACGAAGCAAGCAAAAGCGCTAATGCAACTGCGGAGGAGCAACAAAACGCGGCAAAATGACGATAAGTTAGGAAAGAGACAAATTTCGCTGAGCCAACTACTCACCCCACAACGCTCACCAGGGCGATGACATCCATTTTCGTCTCGCCGTGTGAATGCCTTAGCAACTGGAAGCCCAAAAGAGCCCAGAAGATGACCGCCGATGGCCGAATGATGACAGAGATAGCAGCCAAGCACAGAGATATGGTGAGGTGAGTCCAAGATTGAGCGACTTGATCGCCAGTCCATGGCCACAATGAGAGTGCAACAGCCGTCAGGGCGCTCTCGGCTGAATTAGAGAAAGTGCGAATTCCTGCGTAGGCATTGAAGAATGATGTCAAGGAACAGCTCAACTGTTAGATAGTCAGATCTTGATTGCCGAAAATATTAATCGATCAATGTGGGCCAATGACTCAAAGGAAATGTACGGTGACTTACTGCTGCGGATGCATAATGATGAGACGTGACCCTCGCAGAAAGGCGATAGATGGCTAAGTCGGTAACTGCTGCTATAGCTGCCTGAATCAGCTTAGGAACTAAGATCTGTTATATCAAGCGAGTATTAGTGAGATGAAACAGGTTGGCCGAGGGATGAGTAAAAGTTCTCCACAGGTGATATTGACCACGAATGCTCACCAATAGAAAAGTCTGATCGAGCCGTAAGTATTTGAGTAAAGCATAGGGAGGCACAAAGAGGAAAGGGTACAGTGGACTACGGATGCCACCGCTGGACTGATCGAAGGCATTCCGCCATTCCCAAGACACGAAACCGTAACCAAAGACTTGATGATGAGCAATTTCGAGAGACTGATAGAATTCATCAGGTTGAAAGAATGTACGGCAAAGAAGGGCATTGAGAAGTCGAAAAAGGTAGAGGTAAGCGAACAGTTTGATGGTTGAGATTGACATGGTGAATGATCGAGTTGAGTGGATGGAAAGGTCAACAAGAGAAACAAGAGAAACCAAACTGAACACTACGAATGTCGCCCAACGATGACATCATCTGACGCCAGCTTACATCTCTGTGAAACCCTTGTGATCAATACTGAGAGTCTGTGACATGCTAACACTGGGAAAATGTAGTATTTTTCCCAAGTGAAAAATGATTGACCTGAAGGACAAAAAAAATTGAAAAAGGTGGAATTCTGCATTCATTCTGCATGTGCATTAACACTGCATTTTTCTGCATTGATGCTGCATTTTTTTTCATTAATGGTGCATTAATGGTGCATTTTTATGCATTAACATAGCATTTTTAATTATTTTTGACATTAATTCTAATCATTTTGCATAGCCGAAAAATACTACATCTGTGCAGTGTAAGCTCCGAAATGCATTTGAGGAATTATGACACATTTATTTACCGGGCGATGGCAAGGGTCAGCTCTAGGAAGAAGCAGACGTCACCCTTTGATAAAGTGTCTGCTTAATAAATGCTAAAAATCAAAAAGAACAAAGGTCCGAACGCATTCAATATCCATATCAGTCTCCCAAGAGACTCAAAGGCAGACTGGAGGACAAGTTGATGGAGGGACACAAGAGTCTACCACTAGTCTTGAATGATATTAAGCACTTTGGATGTGGAGGATACAGCGGGGTTGAGGATCACAGTACAAGAATTCAAAAGGTACAAATTCATGAAGCGTGTATCTACCTTCCTAGCGTTACACCACGGGGCGACTTTGAACTGGGACCACATGAAATGTAAGTTGGGTATGAGCACGCCGAGTGGTTGTGCAGAACAGGTGGCCGCAGTGTGAGTGCGGCCACGTGGCCCTCACCCAATGTTTTTCACCTGCTCTACACATCAAGAGAAAGACCACGTCGGCATGGCGTGGTTTACCAGCCAGTCGGCGGGTGAGCTGGTTGGTACGAGCGCAACCTGCCAGCGAGGTGCCCAGCACGTGATTCAGATTGCGTGCCGGTGGTACACGCTGATTTGCCTGCTGAGCACCTGGCTGGCAGGTGAGCTAACCAGCCAGGTGCTCAGCAGGCGATTGAATTTGGATCAGGTGCTCAGCACGTGATCCAGACTGCGTGCCGGTAGTATAAGCTAATTCGTCTGCTGAGCACCTGGCTGTCAACTCACATGCCCGCAAGGTGCTCAGCAGACGATTGAATTTGGATCAGGTGCTCAGCACGTGATTCAGACTGCGTGTCGGTAGTATAAGCTAATTCGTCTGCTGAGCACCTTGCGGGCATGTGAGTTGACTACTTCTAAACTGTTGATCATTTCTCAAGATTGAAGAAGCTTCTTTTTCTCACATGACCTGCTGTGGTAATCAAAACCACTCCGAGCTCAGCATTTTATAGCTGAAGCTCTCCTACCTATTCTCAAATTTATATATATTAGTATTTCATCTTTTGCTCGCGGGGACAGACTCTCACTCGGTCTATCTCAAGGGTCAGCAAGTCAAAGCTCAGCTCAACTTTACTCAACTCAAGTTATAATAGTTTATCTTTTAATTTAATAGCACGAGATTTAAATTTAATATATTACAAAGTTGAAAGAGAGAAATTTAAATTTATAGGGAAAAGAAAAGAGTTTAGAGGAGGTAACTGGAAAGTAAAAGAAAAATGAGAGTGATTTAGAGGTTTGATTGAACAAAGTGAAGATCAGCGAGGTTGAAGTAAGAGAAGGATTGGCAAGATCGAGGAGTGATCGGAGTTGAGAGTGATCGTCAACTTTTGGGGCCTAGGACTAAGTAGATCCTAAGGTTGAATGAATCAAAACAGTCAGTCAAGTATCACGAGTAGAGTTAAGAGAAAAGAACTTACAACGAATAAAATAATATATGAATATAGAACAATCAATTAGCCAGAAAGTATGATCGGATGGAAAGGATGAGTCGTGAGGGAGACGGATCAAAGTGAATATCAGCGGGGTTTTCACTCCAGACTGATTGGTTGATCATTTTTATCTTTGCTCAGAAACTTTGGTCAGATATCCGTGACAAGGTTTGCAAGAAGATTATTTGATGTCTTTTAAAATGATAATGTACTTATTTATATGTGGTTTTATCTTTGGTTCTTTGATTCAAAATGTGTAGGTCGTTTCTGAATAAGATCTCATTCGAATAAGCAATACGCGCTTTGAGGAATCTAGATCTCAACCATAAGGTTCGTGATTTTTCCTTCTTTCTTATTCGCTGCTTCAGGAACGAATGCCCTGAGCCGGATCTCAGGGTATGTTCCGCATGCAATCACAAGTACCCGGATGTGCTTGTGATTGCATGGAGCAGTGCTTTCATACCACTATGAGCTCTAGCTGACGGATTTGTATCGACTTACATATTCGAATATCGCCACAAGACCATCCATCTCGACATCGGTTCAAAGTATTCAAGGTTGTTTTGAGAATACATATTGGTTTTGTTTCTCGAATCAACGACCAGCATAACCACCTCAGTCTTTAGCAGTGATGGCGACAGAGATAGATGATAAAGTGATCGGGTTCCTTAGATTTTTTAAATTTACTACCAATCAATCGAGCGACCTGATGAGTGCATTTACCAATCGGAAATGGTAAGCAGACTGAGCAAATCCGATCACTACAAGTTCTCAAATTACACGGTCACCTTATCAAGCTTGTACATTCTTGCCTAGCGAACTCGGCCCTCAAGGTCAGCCGCAGTGCCCCAATTTGAAGTTGACTACCAGAATTACATATTGCTGATCATACAACATACTCAGAAAGCGCCTGGTGGACCAATCACCCTCACATTCATTGTCTGCCTCACAACAAATGAGTTTGAAAGGTGTGTGTAATGGATTTCCTGATCTGGTGCTTGAAGCAGCGCGCTTTGAGGAATGACGTAACTCACCAGTTCCAGCCATGTGTGCGTCATCGATGACCGCGTCAGCTCGGCTCCTCATGATTCATGATCGTCAATCAAAATGATGAGATACTTAGACAACTTTGCTCAGCTTCACTTCATGCAATCAACTTCTCACTCATCATCTCCGTACGACCTTCTAGAGTGATACTCTCTGGATATGCTTGTATGAGGATGTGTCACGCGGACGCCTCGGGCCTTGGGGCCCCGGCGTCAGCTGTTAAACATACGGCTTCAGCTGTACAAATAACGTCTAACAAAACCAACAGCCAATCGATCCAGTCCACCTCCATCGTATTGATTTGGCAACCACTCGGAACGATTCTTGCGAGCAAAGTTTTTCAGCTGCTTGACTGGTGCAAGAGCCGAAGCTTTGTGATCCTTTGATTTGACAAACTGGTGTTGTCAATCAATTTGGTCAGCATCTATCAGATCGAATCAAGAACCATCTTTGATTTCGACTTCATTTGCTCTTCATCATCCACATTTCATTTGTAAGTTCATTTTTCATTTGTGTTTCTCTTCTCTCTCTCACATGATCTTTGAGAATGAGACTGTTCTGACCATTGTTTCTGTTTTCTTTGGATATAGTCAACATCCACCTCTGATCGATAGTTCAATTCAAGATTGGATCACACTTCTTTAACTGTGAGTACTTATATCTTGCTCTTCAATTTGTTCACATCATCTGAAAGATCGCTCCAACGGTTCTGGGATCCACTGTTTGAAATTGGATCGATTGTCCAATTCAAGATTTATAGTTTATTTGTAAGTCCTTTCTAATTTTCTCTTCACCTTTCTCATCATCTCAAAGATTTCTATTACTCTGATCATTATTTCTTTTTGCTTTGGTTATCATCGACGATTACCTCTGATCGATTGTCCAATTCAAGATTCATAGTGTATTTGTAAGTCCTTTTTATCTTTTTCTTCACCTTTCTCATTATCTCAAAGATTTCCATTACTCTAATCATTATTTGTGTTTGCTTTGGTTATCATCAATGTTTACCTCTGATCAATTGTTATCTTATTCAATCATCCTCCTACCAGTTAATTCGTTCTTATACGTAAGTTTTTTTGTTTTATCTCATTCCAATCATTTTACAAGTCAGTTTTGTTCTAACAATATTTTTTTTCTTTGCTTTCCTTATCTCATTCAAAATCATCCAACAAGTTCGTTTCATTCTGAGCTTTTATTGATCAGCCTCTTTGTAAGTTCTTTTTGTTTTATCTCATTCAAGTCATCCATCCTATAAGCTGATTTAGTTCTGACTATTCCTTCTTTCTGCATGCTTCATATCAGAGTCCTTTGGCCAATTGTTCCAAATTCAACAATGCCCAAAACAAAGATGAAGAAGCGTATTCAACAAGAAGACAGGTCGTCATCGCTGCCACCTGCTTTAGAACATCAAAAATCCAAAAAAAGTGGTAGGTTTTCCTCTTACTCTTCAATACGATCACTGATATGGTCCTTTGTTCTGTAGTACATAGAAAACAACATACACAAACTCACTCCAGTGCCCCGTCTGCGAGCTCTTCCCGACCTCGAAAGAACTCTAATCTGCCTAGCAACAATCGTTCCAACACCACAAATTTGTCGACTTTAGCACATTCTCAACCTACGAACAACTCATTGGCTTTAGCCCATTCACAGCCGACTAACGCCACCAGCTTTTCCCAGCCACATGTTCTGACCAACAGTCAAAAAGCGTATCTAAAGCATGTTACTGAGACTCTTGATCTTTCTAGCAAAGCCCATGAGAAGGCACTAAAGGTATGTGAGGTAAGTTTCTGATCTTCATTCTTGCCTTGATCACAACAGTCATACTGAAGCTCGTCTTCAGGCTACCCGTCCTGAAAATGAATTCATTGGAACGATTGGCTACCTTTCCTACATCCAGCAAACAATCGAGCAGGGATTGAGTGGGGAAAACCTCCCTTCTGCCCTTGCACCAGCTGCTGCTAGCATCTGGCGCCCTTCTGATATACTAAAGGCGAGTTTAATCTTCTTTGTCCCTTTTTTCTATGTCCTGATATGCTTGTATGTTGTATTCAGGATGTTGTTCGACGAGACTTTAATGCCCTGATCATGGATGTCAAGATTCAGGCTTATTCTTGTATCCGTGACTCAAAACGATCTGCCATACGACAATGCTTTGATGCATTATGCAAGGTGAGTTTGTTTCTTTTTATTATTGTATCGTCTAAATATTAAAATTTGTCTTCTTCTCTGTTAGAAATACATCAAGTCCAGAGACAAACAATTCATCAAAGCCCATTACCCTACTGGATACGAAACACCTGATGGGGCTGAAGCAGTCAAAACTATCACTGACTGGGCTAATCGATGTGCAACAGACACCCGTAGCCGTTTACGACATTGTGTAAGTATTTTTTCATGATTGTCAACTGCCACAATTTCACATCAACTGATAGCTTGTCCTGTTTAGCTTCTCATAGATGTGAAGCCTTCAGGAAACGAAGCTTCCATGAATGCCATGCCCAGCCTTCAACAACTTACTAGCTTGGTAAGATTTTGTAAGTTCTTCTTTGTTTTGTTTTGCTGCTTATATTTTTGTGTAAGCAGGTTCATCACACCTTCATCCTCCAAATTGACCCCCGAACTGAAGAGCAAATATTCAAAGATGTCTCCAAAGACTTCAAACACCGTCTCGCCTTCTTAGTACGTCTTTTTTTCCTTTCCCATTCAGCTCTCACTATTTGGTGATGCCATTCCTGTGTAGCGCATACATGCTGTGTACACCATGCAAAACCCAAGCACCGATCGTAAATATTGCATCTGGACTAGTGTTGATAACACTCTTGAACAATTGAAGATTATGAAAAAAAACATGGAAAGTTGTACAAAACTGCGTGAGTCACTGCATCTTTTCTCTCTGGATTCTACAGCACTGATTTTTTGTCCTTTTCAAAGGTTCTACAATTTATACATGCAATACAACAAACGCTATTTTGAAGCATCATACTGCTACAGTCAGATTTTACCTTCTGAACGACTTAATCCCCCTACAGAAACTGAAATCAAGACAGAGTACCAGCACTTGAAAGAGAAGAGTGAAGCCAAACAGAACAGACATCAAGATGAAGTTGAAGAGGAAGATAATGCCCGCCCTGCAGCTGAAGATGACCTTTCTGATCGGCTTGGCGATGAGGATGACTTTTTACCTGATGATGAGGATGACTTCTTACCTGATGATGAGGATGATGGCTTACCTGACAATGAGGATGATGGCTTACCTGATGATGAGGATGATGGCTTACCTGACAATGAGGATGATGGCTCACTTGACGATGAGGATGATGGCTCACTTGAAATTTAAACAGCCTTTTGGTATGTCTCCATTTACACTCTCTTTGCTGAATGCCACATCAACTAATTTGCTGATCTGTTACCTCCATCCTACTTTATTGATTTATTTTTCTATTGTAGCGCTTTTTCCCAATTTTTCTCATTTTTATTTATTTCTCCTATTAGAATGTTACATGTGTGACAATGAAGAGAGTCAATGACCTCTATTGTAGCATGTTTGATTTTTTTATTTCACCTCTCAGCATACTGTATGTATTTAAATACTATAGAAAAATCATCCAGGACCACCATTTGTCTTTTTTCAAAAAAAATCAAAAAAATTCAAATTCCTATTTATTTCTCCTATTACAAGCATACTATATGCATGTATCCATGGACAGTCAATTTCTTTTGTGAGTAACCCTGTAGAAATGGCCTGGTTATTGAGCCATGATGAGGCTGAAAGAGTACTGCAGTCACGAGCCATGCAGGCTGACATTCTTTGGTGTTGTGGGCCATCTCACCTGGCTGTGAGGTATTGTGGCTCACCCTATGAATGGGTGAGCCATCTCACCTGGTTATGAGGTATTTTGGCTCACCCTATGAACAGGTGAGCCATCTCACCTGGTTATGAGGTATTTTGGCTCACCCTATCAACAGGTGAGCCATCTCACCTGGTTATGGGGTATTGTTGCTCACCCTATGAACGGGTGAGCCATCACACTTTAGCTACTCACACTGGTTGTCACATGTAACTCAGAACGGGTATCACACTCTGGACAGCGTGTGATTTGCTAGCAGAGACCTTTTTCACGTGAATCTCACGTGCCAGGTGCCCCGTGGTGTAGATGTGATAACATATCTGTTCAAGACTTGAAAGCAAAACTAGAAAATTCAGAACAGCTTGCCACGATTTCCCCGCCAATTGGATCAAGTTTTGCCGGCAGAATTGGTCAAGACATTAGGTATCAACTAGTACAATTCAACACGGATATAGGCGCTCGAACCCCAGTTCGTGATACTTTCCACTCCAACTGGAAATTCAGTCCAATCCTTATGTGATGGTCCGACTTCGAATTCTTTCCCACGTTCCGATCCTCCCATACTTGCTCTGCGCTGCACTTTGAAAACGTATTTACCATCACCGTCTGCGACGTGTCTAAACTCAGGCGATTCGCCCGCCCATCTGACTTCTACACGTTCATTGCTGAAAATCTCGTCTGTGTATTTGTAGACGTTTTTGTAGGTGATGCATAAGCCATGGGTTGCTAAGGTTGCGAGAATCAAAAATGATTGCATTATCATATGTCCAACCATGTTGATCTGATCATAGGGATATAAAAATATAGTGCAACGGATCAGTTTTCAGTGCCTTTGAGTGGATCAGTGGTGATTGATCTCATTTGGTTTTTAAAGCTGCAGAACATGCGCTTACGTTTCGGTCTGACCTTACAGTGAGACGATAATTGAAGAACTGAAGGTTATAGTCTTGTGGACCGTCTGTGAGATCAAATCAAATCATATAAGCTTCAGTCATAAGAAAAACTCCCAATCAGACAGGTCGATTTCTCGCCCCGAGCAAACAAGAAACGTACAGAATGATTTGAATAAGTTGGTTTAGTAGGTGGTACGATTGCCCGTCTGAAAGAATGAATCACGACTGATATATATTCGGAAGAGTATAAGTATTTTTGTGGTGATTGAAAAGAGCGGTGCAGAAGTGAGGTAAAACCTACAAGAATGTGGATGATTGAGTCAAGCCTAAGAACTGATTTGTGATGATGGGAATGAGGAAAGGGAATTGTGCTTACGAAAGCTCCCCTTTTTATACACCATCCTGACCGCCCGATTTCTGGAAAAGAGATGACTGACCCCCGAGTAAAACGCTTGCCGCACTGCCGAAGCACTAAGCCTTGGACCGAGAATTGGAAGTAAGATACCAGTGTTGATACCCACGACTCCATTTGTTGGAGTACTCGCGTTTCATACTACATATTCAGGGGATGAACTCAGATACATGTTTATCGCCAATAGCAATGGCCTCCGTGCCACTGCTAGATTTCTACACAGATAAATTTCGATATCCTCAGAAAGCTTTAGCGAAGTTGTGATAAAAATAGTTCATGTTTTATACTACGTGTTCAAGGGAAAGCCTCGTTCATTGTCCATAGCAATGGTCCCGGTGCTACAATAGTACAATACTCCCTGATTTCTATGCTCAAGACAAATTTCAGTCCATTAGAAACCTAGACGGAGGTTTTGAATTCTCTCGGTATCGTCAGATTAAAAAGGTGTAATTCTCAGAGGGAAAAGTGTTGTAGTTCTCTAATGCTCGAAACTCATTTCTCATACTAATTGTTGCGTCTAGTCTTGGGTAATCACCGTATGGAATGCTCGGTTTTGCCTTGTAAAATTGGGGAATGACTCGTTTCATGATACCCCAGAATTGCGACGCTTGGTAAAATGTATTGTCGATACAAACTAGTTTATCTTTGCTGAAGGTGGTCGCACACTTCCTGTCGCAATTCCTGGGGGTGTCAAGACAGAACGCAAGTTGGAATTTGTCATTTAGGTGCCTCATGTCCTTGATTAGCCCTTTACATACTCTCTCCCTAACTGATATAGGCAAGAAGAACTTGAAAGAAGCTATTACCATTGACCAATGCTAAACAAATATGATGGTATAGAAGGGTCGTAGTACCAGATAACAGACTCGTTGCCCTAGTGTCACACTCACAGGGGATGCTATTGCCATTCTGATTCAAGTCCGTTTTTCATACCAACGGAACTTCCGCAATGAAACTTTCAAAATAGACCGATTATCTGTGCAAACAAAATAATAGAGGAGATAGCGCAGTGTACAACTTACAGGAGAGACACTAGAAAGTCTCATAAAACAATTTGAAACAAAAAACAACACCTTGAAAGATTCATAGAACATTCTATCAGTTGATTCATCACCTTAGCTTCGATTGTTCGCAGTGAGAGAGAGTCAGAGTTCTTTTGCAGTTTTTTCAGTCGATGTTAGTTAGTCGAATAGCCTCCTACAACAACTTCAAAAAAAATAGAACATGCTATAAGTCACTCCACTATTCTGGTGCAACCCATTTACCAAATGATTAGTGATACTTGATTCAGGATAACGCCGGGGCTGGTTGAGGAACAACAGACAACGAGCCTCTGATGGAAGCTAACAACCGAAATTATCGCTCAATCTTTCTTTGATCTCCTTTTCTAATCAAGATGACTCAGAGGTAGATGAGATAAACACCTCATGAAGTGCACGTTATCAATATTTGTTGATGATTTCAATCTTCATACTCTCGTTGTTGTTTTAATTCAGCTTGCATGTATCAATGCTTTCTAGGCTTAGCTAATCCACTAAAATGAAAGCACCAGACGATAAAGACATCAGCCCCTTGAGTAGTGAAGTGGCAATCATTTAATAAAGAACTGTCTCTAAACTTTCTCAAAGAGTTACTGACTTTAGTTGATGAATGGTGATCCCAATCAAAGAGTGTACCTTTTTGTTTCAGTTTGATTTAACTTTAAGCCGTCCTTGAAAAGGCTCTTGAGTGATTTGGTATATTTCCTATCAACTTTAGAATTTCAATCTTCCTCTGATTATTAGAATTACTCTTCATCTCATCATTGTACTTCTCATCCTTCCACTCATTTCTATCAAGTTTTATTGACGTTTACTTTAAGAGTCTATACAAAAAGAATTAGGACTGGTTCCTACTCATCATCTCGATTTCTCGTCATCCTTGATTAGATTTAAACCCCACACTCGTCATGCGTTCTTCTATTTCTCAGTTCGCTTATTTAATATCTTTCCTAACCTTTGAAACCATCCTGAGCTCTTCATTAGATCATGCTATCACTGGTCAGTCATCTTAACTCACGATCACTTTCTGAACCGTATGAAGTCTCTTACCAGTCCACCTTTTTCCCTCTCAAAGATCGAAGAGTATCTCATCTTTCAATAAGGGATCCTCGATCCGGTTTTGGCGGATTTCGAGGTCAAAAGAACAGAGCTACCACAGCCAAAAATAATAAAACTACTACTTCTACCGCCAAGGATACCGATGCACAAACTTCACTTACACTTGATCCTGCTGAAATTCAAACCGGATCAGCTCAAGATGGAAATCCTACTGGAGGACAAGTCGCCTCATTAACTTCGACCAATAATTTTGTAAGTTTCAAAGCCTCATATTTCAAAGCCTTGAAAGTACTTCTCTAACTTGACTATTGGCTTGTTTTGGATTTGAATTGACTTGTCATGATTATTGGAAATCAACCAACAAACCCGGTTCTATTAAAGATTAATTTTTGTATTTCTCCTCTAGCCTTAGGAGCACCACTCATGAATGGAACTCAAACAAAAGCAACTCAATCCTGTAATCCGATTCCAATGGGTATGGTAAATCACCCAACCTTTTGTTTTTCTTGTCAACTTTTTCGTTTCTTTTTCTTAATCAAACTTAAGCCAAAGAACCTTATGCTCACTTTGGGTTACCTTTTTGTTGAAAGATGGTAAGTCAGAATAATATGCCTTCGGCTAAATTCACCAATCCAGTCAACCTTGAAACCATCAAAGCCAATAAAACATTTGATATTACGATGAAAATCAAAAATCTCAATGCTGGTAATTTTGTGAATGCAGCTACCAAGTATGTCTTCCCAGATCCTTGTTCTTCTTTTTTTCCTGGATTTGATCAATGGTTAAGCCTTTGAACCTTTTGAACTTTTGTTCTCGGTTTGGTTAGTTATTTTTCTGCACCTGCTCAGATTGATCCCAAGAATGGAAATGTGATTGGTCATAGTCATTTTGTGATTGAAGCTATCGATTCTTTAACTTCTACAACCGTTACCAATCCTCTTCAGTTTGCTTTCTTCAAAGGTCAGTTTTTCGAACCGGTTTGAATTCTTTATCCTCCTCTCACCCAAGATAAGATACAATACTGATACTCAGTTTCCTTTTGCTTTTTAGGGGTTGATGGGTATGCAGTTATCAATTTCTACAAATCTTGATTTAGTCTCAACGATTCTTACCTGCTCATTTTCCACTTTCCTCTCTCTCTTAGCGCGGCTGTCGGTGGGGTCTTGACAGTAAATGTACCCGTTGGTGGTTTTTCTTTTCCTTTCTTTTCGCCCACAATGCTCAACTCAATCAATCCTCTTTCACATCTTCTAGGGAGGTCTTCCAGCAGGTACTTATCGGTAAGCATTTCAAGCAATTTAACCATCAGGTTTGGTTGGTTTTATTGCATCTCATCATATCTTTCTACTTGAAACAATAGGCTTGGTTCTATCAATTCCGCTGCCAATCATCAACCAGTCCTATCAACAATTGCTCAACATGGCTTGTTTGATGACGGTAAACACTCCTCCTTGCTTACCTCTCTTTACCGTGCTTTTCGAAATATAATGTTGACATCTCGGCTTTCCTCCTATGTAGTCGTCTATTTCACCGCAAAGTAGTCTAGAACTTGACATTTTTTCAGGCGTTCTTACAACCATCCACCCTCTTTACTATGTGTTAGAAGCACTTGTCTTTCACAATTGATTGTTCATTGTTTCTCATTTTTTTATTTCCTTCTCGACGAAGTGTTTTATGACATGTAATATAATTCTAAAGTTTAGTGAGTAGAATGTATGATCAGAGTAGAATGAATACATGGTATTGTCATACTAGGGTAAACTGACTAAGTTCAAGCATGTAATAAACATGGTATATTAAAATTGTGTTGTGCGTCTATCATGACTTTGTGTTTTCTTTGGCTTTCAGAGCATTTTCAATAAGAACAATCTCTTCTGACACTAATCGACGGCGACTTTCGATGAAATCCAAATCTTCACTTAACCTTTTACGCCAGACTTCATCTGGTATCCGTTGTAGTGGAATCCAACGTTCCCAAAACCTAGATCGATCTCTTGAAGAGTTTTCATCAGTTTTTGAAATGTTGGAATTGGTGGACCAATCGGTTTGAGATGACGAATTTGAGGACAAGAGTCTGATTCGAAGTAAGTTGATTTCATTCATGATGATGTGTATTGAGCTACAGACCAATGAAGTAGTTATTGAGCTTCGAAGGATAGTGTGACGACCACCTGTATATATGCATTCAAAAATTTTCAGTGGGAAATTCAAACCAATATCTGGTTTAGTATCTTACTAGATGTAGGAAAAAACAAGCAATAAATGAACTGAGATCTCACGTAGGAAACCATTGATCGAACCACCAAGGATAGTAGCGGTGATGAAGGTAGGTAATACACCGATCAGATGAGGGTTATGGATTGAATGTGTTGGAGTCGTTTGGTTGAGGATTGGTTCTACGATACATTGTCGAAAAGCTTTGTTTTGGAACCAAAACATAAATTAGCACGCAGACCCTTTGTAAGGAAAAAAAGGACAGCGGTCCAAGTTCAATCAACCCGATTTGTATCTCAAAAGAAACGTAGCTGAAATGAAAACTTACTGAAGAATGTCAGACCGAAAGATGTAGTCTTGAATGCAGTTGAGATGGCTGGAAAGGTAGGTGAAAGGTTATGACGAACAGAATGAATTGATCCATAAGTTAAACCTAACAATGCTAATCAAATCAAACGTATTTCCAAACTTTTTCAGTCTCCATCATAACGGCATCGAATATGACAATGAGGGATACTGACTTGAAGCAAGAGTTCCTGTGATGATGGTTTTAGCATTCTGTTCAGTGATGGTTGAATTGGTTGATGATGTGATTGGATTAGAGTCGATGACACCTTCCGAACTGAAGCTCATGGTCATCAATAAAATGCAATGGGAAACAGGCTCAGCAAATCACCGACTCGATCATCAAATTTTCAAAATCCACCGGCCCGCATCTCCCCAGTGATCCCGTCAGATTCGGTTGAGCTTGCAAAGACCGATCGTACCCGACACCGTCTAAGGGCTGGCCATCAATGATCAGGCCCGTCGGGTCAGGAATGCTACGGTGGCGCTAAGGTGCCACATGAGTCACTTCGTCAAAAGTGACAAAATCGACCTCACTAGCCCTAAAAAAAACCCACCCAAGCCTATGCCGACCCTGGCCCGGCTTGGTCCGTTGCCCTCTCGACTCGGAGATCCGGATATTCTTCCATCAAGCTTAATTTATATTTAACTGTTCTGAACAAACAATTAGACGGTTCACAGTAGACCACAAAAGACCTTCAATGACGATGCTTAACCAAATCCTCAAGGTTATTCCGATCAAAATCGAGTGGATGGGATCAATGGAAGTTTCAAAGTAAGGTTAGTTAGCTTATCATCGGTTCTTAATCATTGGTTCTATTTTACTAATTATTTTATCATCGGTCCTTTATCATCGGTTCTATTTCAAGTTTTAGATTTGTTTAAACCGATCTCGATTCTTTGTGTTGTTCAGATGTTCAGAAATCATACTTTATATAGTACAAAATTATTAAATTTTCAAATCATCATACTGATTCAAAAGCACAAATTCAAAGAGTACTAGTGATACTTAAAGGTTAAAACTTTCCAATTTGTTTAATTTTTGTTGTTTTTTGATGCAATGACACTATAAAATTGGATTGTTCAAAAGTGGATCAACTCATCCAAAAACTAAGACTGTTAAAAGAAATACATACTACATAAATCAATTGAAAAATAAGACCAAGATGCATTTTAATATTCCAAGTGAGGTATGCTATGTCTATTCACTGAAGGAGATAAAGTACCTTCACGTTCCAGGAAGACAAGCAGTTTTTAAGACAAAAATAAGGGAGATAGAAGTACCTGGGATAAAATTGTAAAAGAAAATTGATTGATTTAGTTTATATAGGTTGTATTGCTATGAAGTTTGCTTTTATTACTCCTATGGTCCTTCATTATCGTCTTGATTTTGGAGTTTATTGTACTTGAACGAGTCCAAATATCGTTTTCTTTACTCTGCTGAAGTCGATAAGTCGGTGATGAAAATCCGATGGAGAATCTGATCATTTGGCCAAACAGGGTCGGCAAACATGGTCGGCAAACATGGTCGGCCAGGGTCGGCACTTGGTCAGCGGACCTTTTTGGGGGTCTGGAAGGTCGATTTTGTCAATTCTAACGAAGTGACTCATGTGGCACCTTAGCGCCACCGTAGGAATGCTGAGGACTCAGGAGTCCAGGATAAGGCTGCGACCCGGACACGCTCGTCCCGGGCCGGCCTCGAGACAGGGCCAGGCCCTGTTGTGACCCGAGGGCACCTCAGAGAACACTCGGGTTGCCTCGAGGCACGGTATGTTTTTGAGGGGGCAGGGGAGCGAAGCAAGAGTAGCTCAGCAAAAAGACAAGATATTTCATTTCTCATGTTTATTCAAAGACAATATAAAGATTTTCTCATGTTTATTCAAGTTTTGAGTTGTAGAATAGCAAGTACTACAAGATACAAACATTATTTAATTATCTTATTCCAAGTTTTGAGGCAAACCTGAGCTTCTAAGTTCTGCGGAGTCAATGAAGAGCGATAATCGCTCATTACCCTTCCAGAAGCTGAGAAAGCTCGCTCAGATGGTGAAGCAGTAGCTGGAACGGCGAGCATGGAGATAGCCATGCAAGTGAGAATAGGCCAGTTACGCTGTGATCGTCTCCAGAAAGGTAAGACTTCACAATCTTCATCTTCAATTGGTGAACTTAGGTACTCCCTGACTTGATCACAAACCGGGATGGTCTTGCGGCGCTTTATAAAGTGTCGAGGTATGTCCTCATTGTTACGTTGATCACCTTCAGGCTCAACGACTTCAATTTCGGGGTCAGGAGGTGGTTTGAATCCTTCGGCTTGTTGAGTAAAGTATTCAACAAGTTTGTCCTCGGTCCATCCAAGTGAAGTTAAGCTGGTAGAATTGATTGCCGAGAGCTTGCAACAAGGATCTAAGATAGGGGCACATATGTAGACAGGCTTCTTGAGGGCAGCCTTTTCGTATTGTTGGACTTTTTGAAGCATTGGTAAGATTGCACCCCGCATGTCGTGGGATTCATAACTGTGCCAAGCCCAGATAGAGGAAAGGGAGACATAAGCAAGCTAGGAATAAAGGTAAAAAAAAAGTAAGAAAGAACTTACCGCTTCAAGACGTTGAACTATCCATTGATAATCAGGCATTGCCTCTGTGAAAGTTGGATATTTGGATCCTTCAATCTATTGGATAATGACAGCAAGAGGGCAAAGAAATTGAACAATGTTTCCCACTAGATCCCACTCAGCCTCCGTGAGGTTGAACTCGGATAAAACAGGGTTTCCTTCACAGTGGTACTTGATGACTCTCTTGAGTTCAAAAAATCGCTCGAGTGAGTTGTGAGTTGAGGACCATCGAGTACTAACTTCATGAACAAGTCCAACCTTCCAAGAGAGATCGTGAGCACCGGCAATAGCATTGTCAAGAAGTTGCTTGATTTGAGAGCTGTTGCGAATTTTTTTGTGAAACGCACAGATCCGCGCAAGAAGGGAGTGAACTTCTTCATGAGGAGTGGCCTCGATTGTATTCAAAATCGAAAAAGAGGAAGTTGCAGTTTGTGGATTGTGATCAGCTAAAGTAGGGTCAACTGCGCTAATGGGATTGGGTGGGGTCTTTTTTTCAAATACAGCAAGCCCAGCTTTAGCTACGAGGTTGATAACGTGCGCAACACCTCCATGTAAGCTACGATCAGGGTCGAAATGAGGCAGAAGATCGTGTAGATGACAACCCATGGTGATATTGTTAGACGCATTGTCTGTGGTTATGCAGTAGAGGCGATTAGAAAGGTGAAAGCTGTCCAGGATCGATTTCAATAGAGCGGCAATGTTGATACCGGTGTGAGGTCCGTCAATTGGCTTGAGAGCAAGGATCAATTCCTTCATCTCAAAGTTGTTGATCCAGTGAGCTGTGACGCCGAGAAACGAAGTGTTTGTTGGTGATGTCCAAGCGTCACATGTTATGCTGACATGTTCAACAGATGAAAGGATCACTATGATTTGATGGCGTGTGAGGGGTCAGCTACTTTCTGGCTGACTCTTCACTAAAAAGAAGTGTGTAAAGGATTAGGAAGAAGTCTTCACTGGTACACCCAAGTGAAGACTGCAGTTAGTTGACCTCTAAGGAGAGGATTTGATTCCAGTGGGATGGCTGAGTAATCCCTCTAAGGATCTTACTCAGAGCTCTGGTTGATCTTACAACTCTGGAGCCTGCAGTACTTTAGACTCTGAGGATTCAGAGGTGCCGCGGGGTAGTTTAGACTCTTGTAAAGAGGAATCCTTTGTAAATTCCAAGCTTGTTCTGTTAGCTATTTATCCCACCAGCTCAGAACACCACTTGAGGTTTTACAATAACCTGATTAAAAGTAGAACTATAATAATCAAGATACAACAATATCACTATACTCAATATTCTTGGTAAAGAATCAAGTAAGATGTGATGAGGAGTTGTGGTATGATAATAAGTTCGTTCTTCTTCCAAAGTGGGAAGAAGAGGAGTTTATATATTCTAGACCTAGGCGTCAACTTGCGGTTGGCGCTTAGGTTTGCTTTTCTTTGAGTTAGGTTTGGGTTAGGTTTATTATTACTGGTTAAGTCATAATAAGGCTTGTTACTTAATTGACTCTTGAAACTGAGCCATGAGTTGTAATTCTTATGGTTTTAGACAAGTTTCATATATTTACATATGTATTACATATATTTACATGTGTGTTTGTTAGTCTGTGGTCCTGTACACAGGGCTCAGGGCTGACATGGCGCATTGCATGGAATTGAGAGAGGACCCTGTTGCTGATAGCAGTCCGTCTTGAAAGAAGGGCGACTGAAGATGGATTAGTGATTTCAAGACAAGATCGGAATTCAGGTGAGTCGACAAGAGATACTGGAAGCTCTTTGTTGATCAAGAGTCGGATGAAACAATCATTCAAGTTGGTTCGGTTGAGTGGGAGCAACTATTTGTTTGTAGTCAGTACAAGTATCAAAATACAAGCAAAATCATATAAAGAACTTACCCTCTCTGATCCCCCGGTGGTGCAAAAGGTAGTGAGTGTTCCCTGGGAGGTGTCAACTGGAGGTTCGATGTGGTGCTTTCGTGATAGGTGCCAGATCATTGATTTAGTGCTGGAACCTTGATCGATAGCTAAAGCAGCATGACAGACTTGAGTTGAAGAGCCGATTGGGTTTGATAAATGCCGGTGTAGAACTTATAACCCAACAAGGGTTATACAGAGCTGGAAGAGGATAATCCACTAATAAAATGACTAGTAGAAGTTGTCTAAGGACTGCTCTTCTAAAACAACACAATCAGAAAGAGCTCTGTTGTATTGAGTACTGATAAGGCACCAGAGAAATATATCTTCACACGTAATTTAACTTCAAAAACACACTTTGTATTACTATCAACACTGCTATAGTGTTATTCCCAATTGATAACTGAAAGAAATAAGCAATATCTGATTGATATTATTCCCAATAAGTCTTTATGACTATAATACTAAAGTAAATTTCTCTTTATAATTGTAATAAAGGGCGTATTTAAGTGACCAGGTACTATTAAAATAAGTTTATGATGATAAACAAAATGATAATGTCGTAAATGATAAAGAAAAAAAGGGGAACAACAGTCCCAAAACCCTCTCAAAGTATATATAACAATGTACTAGAACTTTTACAATGGTCAACAGCCTCCAAGCCAATCAAATCCGCCCAAAATTCCCTAAAAACCCTATGATGACACAATGTAATGATTTTGTTACTAATAAATGATGTAATTTTCACAGCTAAAAGTGATCAATGACGCAATAATATGATGTACAGC